GATATCTGATCGGAAAGTTCCGAATTTTGAAACTTTCTGATCAGATATCCGATCGATCGATATTTTCTGATTGGATATGACTGGTTTCTTTTTTTTTCTGATTAAAGTGATCGATATAATATCCGTTCGTTACCTTTCACCGGATATTTTTCTCAGTGTTGTCTTGATTTTCTTTCTTTGGTCAATCGATTTAAAATCTTGATGATATCGAAAGTAAGTTTTTACACTTATAAATAACTTACATGTAAATTCAAGTACACTTATAAATAATTTGCATATAAATTCGAGTATATTTATAAATAATTTATATATAAATTCTAAATGAAGGTATATATTCAAGTAATATATTGAGTTAATTAATGTAGTTTTTTAATATTTAGCTAGATGTAATATTTTATTTATAAGAGAAATTATTTATAAGCAGATGATCGAAAGTAATGCTAAATATAAAGTAGGAATACGAATCTTTCTGAAAAACATACATATATAAATTTGAAAAGATATATACATATAATAATGTAATACGTGTTGTTTTAATTTTTATCTTTTGTAGAGAATTCTCAAGATTCTTGGTTTATCTTCTCTCATCTTTGAGAATTCATTAGATGATACATATTATTTTTTATTCGATTTCTATATTTTTTTTTCGAAATAATTTGATACAACTGCTTTAATTTCATTTCCGATATTTGAAAAGACTCGAAAAATCGGAAATGAAAAGTAAAACAATCAAATTATAACAATCAAATCAAATTATATTAATAAAATTAATCTTGTCGTATTGATGAGATAATAAATAAAAGTAGATTCTTATGAAATATGATGTATAATAATGATGTATAATCAATCAATGTTATATTATTTCGCTTATATGTGTTTTGATTTTAAATTTAATAAATATATAAATTATAAATTTGTATTTAAAAAAATCGAAATTTTTCGTATCTTTTACATAATAATAAAATGTGTTTATTTATAACTTATTAATATAAAAATAATATTTGCTATCATTATTTTGCTAAAATATTTATTTGCTGAAATATTCCTTAATAAATTAACAGTTCGTAGTGAGTTGTTAAATTATCACAATTTTTAATGACCACGTTTCTTATATTTTTAATAAAATTAAGAATCAAGTACTAATTAAGTTAGTATTAATTGTAAATTTCTATCTAAGCAAAACGTTTTAAATATATTATTTAATTGTAATGTAGTTAATAGAAATTGGAAATAATTTGGAGAACATTAGAGAAACAACATTAAAGAAAACAAATAAAAAAAGATACTTAGATTTGCAATTTACATACATATATTATTATGTTATATTATTTATTAAGGAATATTAGTAAAAGGTTAATAGTCTGAATTATAATTCTGATTCAAATTTTAAAGATTTCTTGGAATTAATGATTCTTATGAGGTGTTTAATTCTAATTAAATTTCAAAATTTTTCTATGTAGAATGTGGGATGCACATATCATTTCTACGATGTATATTCAACCAGAATCCGCCTTTCGGTATATTTGTTGCATTTTTCTGAAGAATTTCAGAAGAAAGAAGAAGAATTTCAAAGGTAATTTTATACATAATTTCAGTTTATATTGGACTAACAAAATGAGACAACAAGAGTACTTTCAATATAGCAAATCGTTAGACCATGCACATTTTTGATTCAAATCCAAATGATATCTGATGAAATGAATTGTGATACATCTTATTGTTTTTCTCAAAAATCTTTCCGGATAAAATATGTCCTGATTATCGTAGTACTTCTCATCACGATGGATCATAAAAATTCTTGTACTGACAAAAGATTTCTCACTTGATAATGCAGATGGTTGGAGATGGTTGCAGATGATTGAAGCGTTGGTCACTTCTATTTCTAATTGCAATGAGTTATTTAAATAATTGATTTTATTAATATTAATGAAATATTATTAAAATCAATTATTTAAATAACTCATTGTAATTAGAAATAGAAGTGAACAACGCTTATTGCTCAGAATACAAAACCTATAAAAGATAAATGTCTTGAAAGAGAATATTCTATGAAAGTTCCATAAGAAAATTTATTTGTCCATTCTTATGTTATAAATCATTTAATTAATAAAAGTAGAAAAACTTTTCTGATTATTTCAATTAAGTGAAAAGATTTTTAAGGAGAAAATTATCTTTAGAACGAACTTATAAAAATTCTATAATTACAGAGCACAATTTAAATATAATTGAAATAAATAGGTATAAATAATTAATAATTAAGTAATAATTGATTAATTAAGTATAATTGAAATAAACAGGTATAAATAGGTATGGAAATTTAAAGCTTGATACTACAATATCAAATGAAATAAACAACAACAAAACATTAACATAAAATAAAATCTTTATTGATTTCCGCATAATTGCTACTTTTATTGATATTATGTTTATATATATATATATATATATATATATATTATATATTATACATATATATATCTTATATATATATAATATATATCTATATCTTATATATATATAATATGTATAATATATAATATATATAGATCTAATATATATATATCTTATAGATATCTTAGAGATAGATATAATAAAATAGATATAAGATAGAGAAGATGAAAATAGATATAAGAAATAGATATAAGATATAGATATAATATATATATATCTTATATGTATAGATCTTATATAGATAGATATTTTATATATCTCTTTTTCTACAGCTTGTCTACAAACTCGACTATTGGCACTAAGCATCCACTGAGTCCCATTTTTCTTTCATATGGGTACCTTCCTACTGCGCCTACAGAAACAGAATTTTATGTCTTACAAGTTATTGCAATTTTATCATTAATATATTAATACATTAAAAATTACAATGTAATAATTAATGTGTGCAATAATATTACATATTCTCCTGTTTATAAATTAAGTAGATCTTGCTAAACTGAATTAAAAAGTCCTATATCCTTTTACAAATAATTACGCAAAATTTCGAGATATTAATAAGTTGTTTGCAAAACGGTATAGGACTTTTCAATTCGACTTAACGAAATCTACTTATGGTTTTTGGCAGATGATACAACAGACCCCCTGTACACACACACACACGCGCGCGCGCGCGCGCGCACGCGTTTTTGGACGACTAATTTCGTAAAGATATATGTTAAGATATATGTTTATATATGTTAAGAACCATAATTAACTACTACTAACTTCTTTTAACAGTAAAAATACTTTAAATAATATTTTGTAATTATTCTATTAGAATATTAATTTTTTTTATTTTTAAATAATTATCATCATAATAATCATTTCAATAATAATCATTATAAATAATTTAATTAATAACATAAGAAAATAAAATTAATTTTGTGGCCATTTAAATTAATTTCGTGAAAAGTTCGTGTAAGAGAAGTTATTTTATTGTTAGAAGAAATTTTTAAAGTGTTTTACACAACTATTTGATATATATGTGTGCGTGTGCGTGCGTGTGCGTGCGTGCGTGTATACATATAAAATATCCTCTATTATTTAATAAATCTCAATTTCAAAACGAAACAAATGACATACGTATAATGCGATATTTTAATATTTATTTAATGCAAAAATATTGAAAAAATTAAAAGTCTAAATGTGCATTACAATTATTTAAATTGTAACAATTACTCAAATTGTATGTATGATCGTATTAATATACATTATTTCCGAATTGAAAAACTCAAATTAATTTTCTTCTACTTACGTAAGCAAGAAACAATTTTTTTGTTCCTTATTAAGTCAATTGTAATTTATATAATTAGAACATTATTTTAATGTTTGATAAATATCAAAATTATTGAATATTAATGCTAATTTTATGCTAATAATTAAGGCAGGCTAATAATTTGCGTAATTATTTTTTATTATTTCGAGAATTAATTGCTTTGATTACACAGGCTTAGTTCAGTTACAAAAAACAGAGTAGGTGAATCTAATAGATTTTGTGACGCTGAAAATGAATCTGGCCGTAGAATTTTCCCAGCACGTCGGGTTTTTAAGTAATTTAGTTTATATAGTTGAATAGCCCAAAATCACTATTTTGGCCAATTTCATGAATTTATTGTGGAGAAATCAAATTTTTTGAAATAATTCTGCCATGTCATCGTATAGTATTCACTTTCACCTTTCAATTCACTTTCGATTACCGCCGCACAATTTTTTTCGTTGAGATATATAAGTATAAAGTTATAAGAAAATTTACGTTAAAGAAAATTTACATAGACATCAATATGATAGATCCATCATCTTGAAATTTGAAAATTGAACTGATATATGTCAGGTTCAGTTGCCCGAAAAGGTATTGCAAAGAAATATCTAATACAAAATTACATTAATGTCACAATATACGTTTTGCATCTTCTATTAATTATTTTAGAAAGAAGGTTGTTTTTAAATTTGGCGTTGCTTAGATTAGCAGCGAATGAGTTTATTTTTATGCTTGATTGTCGCATTAATCTTTTCTCGAGTGCAAAATAGCTATTACTTATTATTATATTTGATTTCCGCAGTTTAGAAAAGTGAAATTTATATAAAATAATATTCGTGCATTTATATATACATATATAGACAAATTGAAATTTTATGTCTATTCTTGGAATTTATAGCAGTTTATATCACGTATAAATATCTCTTTTATCTTGGATTATTGGACCATTAGGTCGATTAGATACAGCCAATCTTTATTGTCATTATTCAACCTAAGTAAACTTTTGATGATTGTCATGAATATTATATACATGACAAATTAAATATGACCAATTTTTCACGAGTTATTATTTTTATAACAAAAGTAATTATATATTCGAAATTGATTATTTAAGTAGGTTTGATTGTTTTTTTTATTAGATGCTTTTTTTATTAGAAATCGAAGTGACTAATGTGACTTGAAGTATAAAATCTACAAGAAATATGTTATCGAGCGACGCGGTAGCATCGCAAAGCCAAGTACATAAAAAACAGGTCCAAGCATTGAGTTGAGAATCACTATTCTCAATGCGGCGTTACCAAGTAAACTTTCATGTCAAGTAAACTTTCGATTAAGATATTTAATAAACTAAAGCAGTAATAAAAAATCTAACGACATTTGTATTATATAATGTGGATATAAGCTTTCAATTGCGACCAGTTTGAATAAAATTGGTGCAGTCAATTCTGAGAAATGAAGATCGAATATCAGAATTGTGACATTTTTCGTTTTTCTCCAGGTTCAGACTCACGTACATACTATATGTTCGCATACACGCAAAGCGAGTTTGTCCCTCAAGCGGCGTTCACAGTGTGCGTATACGATTATTGCTTCGATATAAAAAAGTTTTAAAATTTCTTATAACAGTGTATAACAGCAATTAATTATTGTAAATAATATCTTATTATAATAATTTATAATAAAATTTAAATATTATATTATAAATTTAATTTTATATAGATATTTATAATAATTTTATAATAATATATTTTTTATACGCTTTTATGAAGGAAATAATATTCTTATAATATTTTAATCGTAATATTAATACTGAAGACCGGTTCTTTTTTATAATTTCTAAGAAAGGATTAAGTATTATATTTTATTGAATACAAGCATACAAAGTTAATTACAATTCATAAAACAAGAAGGTTTTATATAAAATCTTCGAGAATGTATAGTTATAAAATCAGAATTATTAATATTTAATCATATACGCGAGATTGCATTACTTATTAGTTTATTATATGAATACTACGCAAGAGAAAAAATGTACTTTCTTCCTTTATTCGGGCTTATCAAATAGCTCTGCTACATGTACTGCGCACCGTATAGCCGTCATAGTCTTTTCATCATTGCTTCCTGATTGGGCTTCATATAAAATATGCAATTAATATATGCAATTTGAAATAAAGTAAGTTGTTGAAAATAATTCAGCTTTACAAAATAATTACACTATGTATAATTTTAATGAATATTATTTATAATATAGAAGAAGAAAATTTTCTTTTAAATATAATTTCTAATTGTAAAGCAAAAAAATTATAGATTATTAAAAGAATTACTACATACTGAATATCTATATGTTTTATTTACCTTGCTGAAAACATGTGGTGGAGATGTCTTTTGCTTCCTTCAACTTGGCCGCATCGGAAATGAGTTTATCATAATTAGCAAAAAGTTTTTCTTTGTTGACTAAACCTTGTTCGTCGATCTGAAAGATCGATAAAATTGTATTATTTATTTATTATTAACAAATTTCAAAAAGATATAAGTTTGCAAAAATCATTCAAGTAATATATATTTTTAAAAAATATGCTATTAAAGCGATTGAAGATATATATTTTTGTATAATTAATATAACAACTATATTTATACGATACATTATACGATACATATAATTGTAAATTACGATCGAAAAATTTCATGAAATTAAATGAAAACATGTAATATTATCTTTTAAATGTAAACATGTAATATTATCTTTTATGTCTTTTATTCTCCTTTACAAAATGTGAAAGATCACATCAGTTTGTAAATAACTCATTGCTGTAATTGTGAATCGCTTTTACTTCATTTTTAAGAACTTTAATTGTAAACAATTCCAATAGTAAAGCAATTGCTTAAATGTATAATATTATTACACACACACATATAACACATATAACACACACACACACACACACACACACACACACACACACACACACACACATACACACGCATACGCAAATAATAATTCAAATTATGTATTTTTTTTAAATCTGTAATTATACAGAGTCTGATAACTTTTTGCGAAGGGTGGAGGTAAATTGGCTCAAATTAAGAAGAAAGGTCATCTACTGTTTTGTGATATTCGTAATAATTAATGAAAAATTAATTAAAGAAGCTCAGCCAATCCATGCAAATATAAGCATGCGACGAAGCGGTGGGGGACACACTCCAAAACATGATGGCGGCGCGCGGCATTTCAGCGTTACGTTTAGTGAGTAAGGTCCGCTCACCTCTTCGTCGAGTAACTAATATCAAGTTACAGTGGGACGGCCTTTTTCGTCGCGTGCTCATCCTTGTACAGATTAGCTGAGCTTCTTTAATTAATTTTTCGTTAATTATTGCGAATATCACAGTAAAACAGTAGAAGACCTTTTTCCTTAATTTGATTTGATCTACCTTCGCACTTCGGGATTACAAAAAGTTATCAGACACCCTGTATAATAAATATATGTCTGCAATCATATAAATGTATACATTGCTGTTGTTGTTTTATAAAGGAAAAATTTATTTCTCACTTTATAAATAAATTAACTATGTGTCGCAATTAATTTTAAGATTTTCCTTTAGTAATACTATTATTATTTTAATTTTCCAAATTCTTTTTCATTACAAAAATTAGCATGCCAATAATTAATTGTTAATACTCCAAATTGGTTGCGAGTAAAAATAATCGATAATTATGCTGCTAAACAAAATTTTAAAACAAATTAAAATTAAATTTTATTAAAATTTAAATTTGAATATGATTTAGATATTATAAATGTTGGAATCGATATACTAATATTGAAAATTATATTAAGAATTAGTAAAGAAATGTTATAATTTTTATTATTTTGACATATTTATAATTAATTTTATTTATTGTACAAAATAATAAATCACTTCTTCTTTACTTCGGTACAAAAATTTTTATATCTTTTATTATTTGAACTTAGATACTTAAATACCTTATCATGTTTTAACTTTATTTATATTACAGTTTGTTTCTCTAATTTTTATGTGTATATACATACGTACCACTTTGTCCTTTTCCATTACACATTTAATTACTTCTGGTGTCCATTCTAAAATATATAAATTACAAATTTAATAATACAACTTCATGTATGCATGTATAATTTGACAATTAAATTTATATAAATGTGAAGTTATTTAAAATTATTTAAATATAACAATTTATTTATTAACTATTTGTTTAATGTTATCTTCTGCAAAGCATAATCGTTAATGCAAAAAATTTGTAGCATATTAAATTAGTTTTAATATATTAATATTACTAATTTGAAGAAAAAAAATTTTATCTTAATTTTATCTCTCTTTCCTACTTTGAAAAAAAAAATATTAAGGTGTTTTGAAAACGTCTATTGTGATTATATTTATGATAAAAGTTATATTTGAAAATTGTGAAATACAAATTTTTTATTCAATAAATTTTTTAATTTATAGTTTATATTTATTTAATTCCAATATTTAATTGTGACATTATCGATTTACCCTGCACATTAAATTCTTTGATACAACTTGCATAATTATTGTACGACTGTGTTACTTGAGGATCAACAGCATAGGAAATTGTCTGAAAAATTTAAAGGAGAAAGAGAATTACTATCTTCATATTTTCTGTTACTATTCATATGTATATCATTATTATTCCTATATATGTATATCATTATTATTCCTATATTCTCATTCTTATTTTTAATATTATCAATATTATTTAACTTTATATTGTATCTCTAGTTTTCAATGTTGACAAGTTATTTCAAATATTATTGGGCAGACTAATTACATTTAATATGTATGCACATATATTTCATATTTATTTAAAAAAGATTTTATTTTTTATCTATTTGTATTAAAAAGGAAATATTTATTGATCATATATAAAAAAATACCAGAATCAGTACTTTTACAAAAGAAATTCAAGTACATACAAATCAATGTGTATACGCGTGCATGCGCGCATGTGTATGTAAAAAAATATATTATTGTATACATTATATATACATTAATATATTAACATGATACATAAAATTATAAATGAATCTATAATTTATACATATACAGGGTGTAAAAACCGTCTATCAAGCAAATAGCGTTATTCCTGATTAAAAATCGAGTCGAAAAGTCCTGAATCATTTTTTTCTATAATACTTGATAAAGAGGTAATTATTGAATAAAGTTACGCCAATAAGCATCGATCTTTAGTCGGGCACACGTCAGTGAGCCGCGTGCCTGATATATATATATATATATATAATTCCTAATTTCTCAATATGTTGTAATTTTCCAATTTTCTATTTTCTACAATTCATGATAAAATTAAAGATAAATAGTACATAAATAAATAAATATATATGTGGAATCGATGAAAGTTGTGTCGACAAGTGTTTATTTAATAAGACCGTTAGCTTGACGTATAACAGCTTATTTTGATAGCAGCTTAATACAAGGACATTTGCCAGCGATCGAAGCTTCGAGATGTCTCTATGACTCGGCAAAATTGCGGTATATATATATGACACCTCGAGAAGGACCAGCTCTCTTCAGAATCAGACAGTAGACGAAATATAGTTCGCAGTATAGAATATAATAAACTTGCTTTTCTATTAGAATTTGACGTGTGATCGTTTCTGGCCCCTGAGCCTGCTTTCCTAAGTCTCCCAGAATTCTTTTTTTTATCTTTATTAATCATAAAAATTCTATTTATCCTACAATTTTGGGGGCTCAGCCGGGATAGTTGCGAGTTGAGGGATAGCGAGCAAGAGCAGTGGGAGGAATTTTTGTGAGTGAGTGGCGGAAGACTGATTCATAACGAGAACGCCAACTACGAATCTTGTCAACGGTGACGAAAAAAGCTACGACGATCAAATAGGAAGTAATTATCCAAGTAAGACAGAGAACATGGAGAAAAATCTGAACGACCTTACGGTTAATGAATTGAAGGAGATCTTGCGAGAGATGAGTCTGTCCACGGTGGGCGTAAAGACAGAACTAGTGGCCAGAATATTGGAAAAAGATCCTGCGGGCAGGTGGACGTTGCGGAGGACAGGAGACAGGGAGAGTCAGCGAGTGGAGGATCGGGAGAGACCGAGCGTGGCAAGTGTGGGCGGCGATGATTCGGAGCGTCTTCGGCGAGAGATGGAACTTTGTCGGTGAGAAAAGGAGCAGGTAGAGCGAGAGCTAGCGTTAGCACGGCAAGAAATGGAATTGTTGAGACGTATGGGAAATGCGGATGGCGAGCGGCATGAGTCGGCGAGCGATGCAGGAATGAGGAGATCAACGGTGTCCCATGAACCAATGGCGATAAATATAAGCGCAATTACAAGCCTATTGGGATATTTCGAGGGCGATAGCGAGATGTTTGAGGCATGGGAGAAGCGCGTTAGATCTCTTCGGGATGCTTACGGATTGTCGGATGATTTGGCGAGAATTATGATTGGATCGCGTCTGAAGGGTAAAGCACAGGAGTGGTCCCACTCAAATCCGAGTTATATCGAAATAACTGTCGATGAGCTTTTGAAGGAGATAAGAAACATGTTTTTCTTTAAGCCAAGTAGAATTTGTGAGAAAGCAGTTTGAACAGCGCGTGTGGCGTAAGGACGAAACCTTCAACGAGTATTTACATCAGAAAATTATAATGGGCAATCGGATCGGGATCGACGAAGATGAGATGATTGAGTACGTAATTGAAGAGATTCCCGATCCAATTCTGCGAGACCAGGCGAGAGTTCAACGACTTAGAACGAGGGAGATGCTGTTGGAGGCGTTCGAGAGAGTGTCACTGCGTGGAAGGGATCAGCGAGGTGCCCTGCGGAATGTGAAGGATCGTCGAGCACAGGGAGGCGTTGTAGAAGAGAATCAGGATGTGAGAACTGCGAAGCGGTGTCATAACTGCGGAGCGCAAGGACATTATGCGATAGATTGTCCGTCTAAAGCGAAAGGTATGAGATGTTTTAATTGTAAAGAATTTGGTCATATCGTAGCAAACTGCCGAAAGAAAAATATTAGCGAAATAAAAAATATGATTGATATTTCTAGACCGAATCGCAAACGTTTTAAGAATGTAAAGATTAACGATATAAATTTGATGGCTATAATAGATACTGGTAGTGATTTGTCATTGATGCGTGAAGAGCAGTACGTGAAGTTGGGATCTCCGAATTTAACGCGTCGAGAAATTATGTTTCGCGGAATAGGCGCGGAAAATTATAAGACTATCGGTCAATTCGATATAGAAATTGAAATTGATGGCGAATGTTTCACAATAAGTCTGTCAGTTGTGCCGAATAACTTAATGCGTTATGATTTGCTTCTTGGAACTGATTTTCTCGATAGAGTAAATTTATACGTTGAAGAAGGAAAAAGTACGATTCGAAAACCACGTTCGGAGACTCAGATTTCGAACGACCTTCCCGAAATATTCGAAATCGATTCGAAATTCGATATTCGTGCTAGCGATAATAGCGATATTGATTTGACGTGCGTACCCACCGAACATAGAAGCATCATAGCAGATTTAATTAGTAATTATAATCCGAACAAAAAGCGCGAAGTAAAGTTTGAGATGACTATAGTTCTTAGAGACAACAAACCGATATATCAGAGACCTAGACGATTGTCACCTGCGGAGAAAGAAAAGGTAAATTCACATGTAAATGGTTGGCTGAGGGTATTATTCAGCCGTCGCTTTCGGAATATGCGAGTCCGGTAGTGTTAGTTAAAAAGAAAACGGGTGAAACGAGATTATGTATCGATTATAGCTTAATAAGAAGGTAATAAAAGATCGATTTCTGTTACCGTTAATCGATGATCAGTTGGATGCACTATAGGGAGCTACAATATTTAGCACTATCGATTTGAAAAACGGCTTTTTCCACGTACCTATAGAGAAAGATAGTAGAAAATACACCTCGTTTGTAGTGCCGGATGGACAATATGAATTTCTTTATGCTCCTTTCGGTTTGTGTAATTCACCCGCAGTGTTTCAAAAATTCATAAATCAGATATTTAAAGATCTAATTAGAAACGGTATAGTTCTCATATACGTGGACGATGTAATCATCCCGTCTTTAAATTTTGAGAAGGCATTAATAAATCTTAGAGAGACTCTGTGTGTTGCCGAGAGTTACGGGTTGAATATCAATTGGAAAAAGTGTAGATTTTTACAGACAAATCGAATTTTTAGGACATATTATTGAAAACGGCACGATACGTCCAACCGAAACTAAAACTGATGCTGTAATGAAATTTACGCAGCCCGAAAACGTAAAGCAAATACAGAGTTTTTTGGGGTTAGCCGGATATTTTCGCAAATTTATCAGAAATTATGCCGTAACAGCTAGACCGTTGAGTGATTTGTTGAAAACGAATGTGAAATTTGAGTTCGGCAGAAAAGAAAGGGAAGCCTTTAATCGATTAAAACTCATATTAAGCACTAAGCCGATATTGAAATTGTATAAACAAAAAGCAGAAACGGAATTGCACACAGATGCCTCTATGTACGGTTACGGCGCTATATTATTTCAGAAATGCGACGAGGATAATGCGTTACATCCGATATATTACGCGAGTGGTAAGACGACCGAGGCTGAGATGAAATACACGAGTTATGAGTTAGAAACTTTAGATAATTAAAGCACTACGAAAATTTAGAATTTATTTATTAGGAATCACTTTTAAAATTGTAACTGATTGTCAAACGTTCTCGTTAACAATGAATAAAAAAGATTTATGTTCGCGTTGCTAGATGGGCTTTATTACTCGAGAAGTTTGATTATATTATTGTACATCGGCCAGGCAAAAACATGATACATTGAGCCGATATCCGTTACCAAGTAATTTATTGATAGATGAATCAGAGGACAGTATTATCGTGAGAATTCGAATAGCTTAACAAAGGGATGCGAATATAAGAAGTATTTATTTACAAGCGGACAAAGGAGAACGTGATGGTTATATTGCGAGAAATGGATTATTATTTAAGGAGAACAATAGCGATTTACCAGCTAGTAGTACCAAAATGTTTACAATCACAGATAGCTCGGCAGATTCATGAAAACGGTCACTTTGCGGTCGAAAAGACGGAAGCGTTAATAAAGCGAAATTATTGGTTCCCAAATATGCGAAATACGATTGAAAAAATCATTCGAAACTGCATAAATTGTATTTTGTCGAATAGAAAGACAGGCAAATTAGATGGCTACTTGAATCCTATACCCAAGGGCAATGTACCTCTCGAAACTTATCATATCGATCATCTTGGACCACTACCGTCGACTAAAAAAAGATACCGTTATATTTTCGTAACTGTTGACGCGTTCTCTAAATTCGTATGGTTGTTTGGAACGCGATCAACCGGTTCATCGGAAGTTTTGGACAAATTAAGTAAATTAGCTAATATTTTTGGTAATCTGAAAAGAATTATCTCGGATAGGGGAACCGCTTTTACATCGAATGAGTTTCGTGAGTATTGTCAAAGCGAGAATATTCAACACGTACTTGTTACTACAGGTGTTCCGCGAGCAAACGGTCAAGTAGAAAGAATAAACCGAACATTGATACCGATTATAACTAAGTTAACGGCTCCAAAACCAGAGGAATGGCATAAATATCTAAATCGAACACAGCAATATTTAAACGCAAACCAAGTCGAAGTACCGGTAAAACTCCATTTGAATTAATGTTTGGAACGGACATAAGATTGAGAGAAAATCCCGAAATTAGAGAAATAATTGAAAGCGAATGGGAAGTGGCATTCCATGAGGATCGAGATGAACTGAGAGAACAAGCGCGGAAATGTATAATGCGTACTCAAGAAGAAAATAAACGTAGTTATAATAAACATCGGAAGAAAGCGAAACAATAACAACATTACAAAATAATGAGAAGAATCAATTGGTGTAAAGAAAAGACATAGTTATTTTTAAGAAAAAATATGTAATTGTTAATTGCAAATTACATATTTTTTTTCGAAACAACTATGAGTTTTCTTTACACCAATTGATTCTTCTCATTATTTTGTACATAAAAGTATTAAGGTAAAATAATCGAAAAATGAATATTTTACAAGATATTTTACGGTTTATGTAAAATTAAAAAATGATTTCAAGCCTCATAACTTGGAAAGTACTTAATGAAAACTAACTTAATTATAGTGTTTTGGAAAGCTCTTGAGATGAACTACAAGAATATGCAAAAGCATATAGGGTGTCCCATTTAAAAAGTTGGAGCTGACTTTCGCGTGTCCTTCAGGTGGCGCTTCAAGATCAAACTAATGACACCATCTTATGTCCCCCTTGAAACCATACAACTTTTGTCTAAAACATTTTTCTCTATCTTGCTTAGGTTCCGAGAAATTTAGGTAGTCGGATTAAAATGAAACATCCTGTATATACAGGGTGTTCAAAAAGTCCCGGTACGGGGGAATAACTCGAAAAGTAAGGGTCGGACAAAGAAACTTTTCGGACAAAAGTTGTAGGGCTTACTCCGAGCTTCTATCTCGTGACCTTGAGTTTGACCTTGAGCTTGACCTTCAAGGTTATTTGAAGGTCAAAGTGTTTTTTTAAAATGGGAACCCCTATTTTTGATTGTATATTCTTATAGCTGATCTCGAGAGCTTTCCAAAACACTATAATAAAATATTTTTCCCTCAAGCATTTATCGAGTTATAAGGCTTCAAATCATTTCTTAATTTTACATAAACCGTAAAATATCTTGTAAAATATTCACTTTTCGATTATTTTACCTTAATACTTTTATGTACAAAATAATGAGAGGAATCAATTGGTGTAAAGAAAACATACAATTGTTTTTAAGAAAAAATATGTAATTGTTAATTGCAAATTACATATTTTTTCTTCGGAACAATTATGTGTTTTTTTTTAGAGATTTTTTATACAATCAAAAATAGGGGTTCCCATTTAAAAAAAACACATTGACCTTCAAATAACCTTGAAGGTCAAGCTCAAGGTCAAACTCAAGGTCACGAGATAAAAGCTCGGAGTAAGCCCTACAACTTTTGTCGGAAAAGTTTCTTTGTCCGACCCTTACTTTTCGAGTTATTCCGCCGTACCGGGACTTTTTGAACACCCTGTATATATATATATATATATACAGGGTGTCCGTCGATTTTCGACCAAAATGAAATAAATAAGTAGATTGGCTCGAATTAAAAAGGAATGACCTGTATTGTTTTGGGATTTTCGCAATAATTAACGAAATATTAAATAAAAAAGATCGGCCAATCTGCGTGAGTAAAAGCGCGCGGCGACGAGAGTCGTCCCACCGTAGTCCGATACTATGAGCGCGGCGAAGCGGTGGGCGGGTCGCTCTTCGAGACATGATGGTGGTTTGCGATATATCGCAATACCGCGCCGAAAAATGACCCGTCCCCCCTTTTCGTGGCGAGAAAATGATGCGCTATCATTTCCACACCACCTTGCGGTAGATAGCATGGTGCGCTTTTTTTATAGTGGTTTCCCCCATAGGCCTATTCCACTCTCAATTTAAAAATTATTCAAAATGCCATTTACTATACGCTGAATATATCGTAAATGTAAAAAATTAACGGACAGTACCTTTACAAAAATTGATTCGTGATTGAAAATCCCTCGATAAAATGTATTGCACACGTTGATAATGTGATACGATGATAAAATTCTTCAAGAATCCTTTCTTCATCTCGTACACGAAGACGCACTGCTGGACCGGTTATCCCGATATTATGCACGACACTCAGTTTCACATAATTATTGCACAACACGTAAAATTGTACGGCCACTTGGTTTTCGTGCACGCCCGAGAAATGATTCCATGTAAATTGCAGCCGCACGATAAGTATTTTCTCCCGCTAGTCCGTATGCCACAATCATATCCGTATATTCCTGCAGAGTACACTTCATTTTCTCTGTTAATTTACTACGCAAACACAAGATTTTTATTAAAACGTCTTAGCTCTCGCACGCTGTTACCAGACTGCGTACGCCAGCAGCACGCAACTACAGCTGACAGCTGAGCGGACATGGGAGTGTAAGCGTACGTGTGAGTTCGACGCCTGCGCACTATGATTACATTCACATGTCCGCTCAGCTGTAGTTGCGTGCTGCTGGCGTACGCAGTCTGGTAACAGCGTGCGAGAGCTAAGACGTTTTAATAAAAATCTTGTGTTTGCGTAGTAAATTAACAGAGAAAATGAAGTGTACTCTGCAGGAATATACGGATATGATTGTGGCATACGGACTAGCGGGAGAAAATACTTATCGTGCGGCTGCAATTTACATGGAATCATTTCTCGGGCGTGCACGAAAACCAAGTGGCCGTACAATTTTACGTGTTGTGCAATAATTATGTGAAACTGAGTGTCGTGCATAATATCGGGATAACCGGTCCAGCAGTGCGTCTTCGTGTACGAGATGAAGAAAGGATTCTTGAAGAATTTTATCATCGTATCACATTATCAACGTGTGCAATACATTTTATCGAGGGATTTTCAATCACGAATCAATTTTTGTAAAGGTACTGTCCGTTAATTTTTTACATTTACGATATATTCAGCGTATAGTAAATGGCATTTTGAATAATTTTTAAATTGAGAGTGGAATAGGCCTATGGGGGAAACCACTATAAAAAAAGCGCACCATGCTATCTACCGCAAGGTGGTGTGGAAATGATAGCGCATCATTTTCTCGCCACGAAAAGGGGGGACGGGTCATTTTTCGGCGCGGTATTGCGATATATCGCAAACCACCATCATGTCTCGAAGAGCGACCCGCCCACCGCTTCGCCGCGCTCATAGTATCGGACTACGGTGGGACGACTCTCGTCGCCGCGCGCTTTTACTCACGCAGATTGGCCGATCTTTTTTATTTAATATTTCGTTAATTATTGCGACAATCTCAAAACAATACAGGTCATTCCTTCTTAATTCGAGCCAATCTACTTATTTATTTCATTTTGGTCGAAAATCGACGGACACCCTGTATATATATATATATATATATATACATATATATATATATATATATATATATATATATATATATATTAATGATTGTAGAACAAATAATAATAAGAAAACTAAAAATGAAAATAATTTATTTATAAGCATATTTTTGTCCCTATAATATTATTTAAACTAAATAAAATTTTATTTTTATTGATTTTATTGTAGTTTTAAATTGATATGTGAAATAAAATTTCAAATTCTCGAAACAGAGCAGATTATCTTTAAGGAATAAGGGACTAAATTTACAAATTTTTTTAAGGGATTAAATTTACAAATGTTTTGAATTTCTTACAATTTAGGCGAATTTCAATAAAAGATTTTAAATAAAAATTTTTATGTAACGGTTTTTTTGTTATTATATAAATTATAATTTATTTTTTTGACTTATTGTATATATGAAGCTTATTCAATATTTTTCACAAGTTTTCTTAAGTTCTTTCTGTATCTATACGATTATAATAATTAAAGAGAAGAATCAATATAGAACGAAAATCATATTTAGCGACAATTACAATAGATCGTTACATAATTTGTATATTATGATATAGAAAGATACGACATTAGTGTTTATAAAAATTTGTACAGAGAGATATTAAATTTAACAGAATCAAATTTTTAATTTTAACAAAAATTCTATTGTAGTTATAATATATCAAAATTCCAGAGTGCAGGAAGAGCGCGAAAAAGTAGGAGTACAATATTGCATATTTTCTTTAATGATGTAAATAAAGAAAAAAAATAGCAAAATTATTTTTTTCATTTGATCACATATTGTCTCAGAAACGGCTAATTCATATATTATTTTCCACTTACCAGGAAACACGCCACAAGTGCAAGAGTTTTCATTTTATTTGTTTGGAATGTAAGATATACCGATTCCAGTTCCCTCGACTACTTCAACTGATATGAACGCATGAATATTTCAGTTGTATTTATATGTTGTACTTATTACGTGTTGTATTTATATGTTGTACTTATTACGTGTTGTATTTATAAAAACTGGTTGATAATATAAAATGAAATGAATTGCATATTGTAGAAACGTGCGCATAAATCTACATATTAATAGATGATGTAATTGTTGACCAAGTAATTTGATTTAATCGATTTCTTGACATCATAATAATTCTTGACATTGAATAATAATTAAGCGAAATAAAAAAGAACTTAGATGAAGAAAATGTAAAATGTTCGCTATTTATTTTTAATATAAAAATGAAATTAACATCAAGTAATCTATAAATTTTATGTTCTATATAAATATATAAATAATATAAATAATATAATAATATAAATAATATATAAATTCTATATAAATATATTGAAAACAATATTAGTCAAGAAAAATAAAAGTTAAAAATAAAAGAAAATCCGTGTACACACACACACACACACACACACACACACACACACACACACACACACACACACACATACACATATGTTTATACAGGGTGTTTCAGACCCGTATCATTCATTTAAAAACTAGAGAAATGGTTATTTCAAAAAAGTAAAAACATTTGTATTATAAATCGGGTGCGCCCTATCGAATGGTGATATTTTCAACTTCTGGTTCCGGCCGGAAATAGGATTCAGACCGGAAGTGTCCAGTGATTCAGACCATTTTTTTAAAATGGAAATTAAACCCTATTTTTCTCCTATTTTCATTGCATATTCTTGTAGCACCCCTATTTTTCATTGCATATTCTTGTAGCTTATCTCAAAAGCTTTCCAAAACACTATAATAAATTATTTTTGCATAAAGTACTTTTCGAGTTATGAGGCTTGAAATCATTTTTTAATTTTACATAAACCATAAAATATCTTGTAAAATATTCATTTTTCGATTATCTCACCTTAATACTTTTATGTACAAAATAATGAGAGGAATTGGTGTAAAGAAAACATACAGTTGTTTTAAAGAAAAAAATATGGAATTGTTAATTGCAAATTACATATTTTTTCTTGATGTTTTGTTTATATGTTTATATAAACTTTTTCTCTTATTTTTGTCTCTTGAATCTACTATTGCAATACTTCCCTTTTTAGGATACACCCTGTATATATATTGTGTGTGTGTATGTGTGTGTGTGTGTGCGCGCGCGCGTGCGGGTGCGTGTGTGTGTGTGGTTGTGTATGTGTATATATGTATGAATAAATTGCGTGGAAGATAATTATTACAATAATTATTGTCATTATCGTGGAAGATAATTATTACAATAATTATTGTCTTGGAAGAACGGATTTTATAATTAAGTATATTTCTCTTTTACATACAAAATAATTTTTTTGTTTAAGAACTCAATCAAGTTTATGCAGTATAAAAGTCAAGAATGATTAACATAAATAATCTCTTTAAAAAGGAAAATGTCAGTTCTTGTAAATTTTTTTTTATTGCTGATAATTATCAATATTTGCATTGTAAATATATCTTCACTGAGAAAAATTTTTTCTCAAAAATCTCTCTGGATAAAATCTGTCCTGATTATCGTAGTATTTCTCATCATGATGGATCATAAAATTTCTTGTACATGACAAAAGATTCCTCACTTGACAATGCAGATGGTTGGAGATGGTTGCAGATGATTGAAGCGTTGGTCACTTCTATTTCTAATTGCAATGAGTTATTTAAATAATTGATTTTATTAATATTAATAAAATATTATTAAAATCAATTATTTAAATAACTCATTGTAATTAGAAATAGAAGTGATCAACGCTTATTGCTCAGAATACAAAACCTATAAAAGATAAATGTCTTGAAAGAGAATATTCTATAAAAGTTCTATAAGAAAATTTATTTGTTCATTCTTATGTTATAAATCATTTAATTAATAAAAGTAGAAAAACTTTTCTGATTATTTCAATTAAATGAAAAGATTTTTAAGGAAAAAAATTATCTTTAGAACGAACTTATAAAAATTCTATAATTACAGAGCACAATTTAAGTATAATTGAAATAAATAGGTATAAATAGGTATGGAAATTTAAAACTTAATACTACAATATCAAATGAAATAAACAACAAGAAAACATTAACATAAAATAAAATCTTTATTGATTTCCGCATAATTGCTACTTTTATTGATATTATGTTTTTATACATATATATATATATATATATATATATATATATATATTATATATTATACATATTATATATATATAGATCTTATATAGATAGATATTTTATATATCTCTTTTTCTACAGCTTGTCTACAAACTCGACTATTGGCACTAAGCATCCACTGAGTCTCATTATTCTTTCATATGGGTACCCTCCTACTGTGCCTACAGAAACAGAATTTTATGTCTTACAAGTTATTGCAATTTTATCATTAATATATTAATACATTAAAAATTACAATATAATAATTAATGTGTGCAATAATATTACATATTCTTCTGTTTATAAATTAAGTAGATCTTGCTAAACTGACTTAAAAAATCCTATATCCTTTTACAAATAATTACGTAAAATTTCGAGATATTAATAAGTTGTTTGCAAAACGGTATAGGACTTTTCAATTCGATTTAACGAAATCTACTTATGGTTTTTTGGCAGATGACAACAGACCCCCTGTACACACACACACACACGCGCGCGCGCGCGCGCGTGTGGATATCTAATTTCGTAAAGATATTTATATATGTTAAGTACCATAATTGGAACAAAATTCAAGTCTCTGTTGCGCTTGCGCCAATGTAGACGGATCAGAGACGAGATGATTTAAATTTTGTTTTGCCTCATACATTTTCAAGACGCCCATTTCGTCTAGCTGTAACCAATAAAATAAGAATATATTATAATTCATTCCATTTCTTAAAAATAATACTTATATAAAAAAAGTAATATAAAACGCATATTAATGTTATATATGTATTAAACAAAATGTATAAAATGCCATTTTATAGAAGAAATTTCTCAATTTTATTATCATATATATGAAAAAAATATATTTTAACAATTTAAATAACCTATTATAAAAAAGGGAATATGTTTTCGAAGTGTTGTCTATCGAAATTGATACAGAATTGTAATCGTTTTTGAAAACTTTGAAAATACATTATCAAATATGTTTATAGAAATGTTTCGAGTGCATTTTTGATTGCTATCTATCAGTTCTTCGATGAAAAGGATGACAACTGACACATTCGGATATTTTTTCCCTCAAAATTTTACTTACAAATATACTTATATTACCAAAAATGAGCTTCATCTATAAAAATAATTTGTTTCTCATCTAATTTCCCATTTTTTCACGCGCTTTTAGCCACGTACATTGGTCGGTCTTTTTTAATTAATATCTTGAATTTTACATGGTGCATTTCAAAATGATATATACTTTTTAGTTCGATTTAACGAAATCAATTTATAGGTTTTTTTTGGATGCGTGATACAATGGACATGTATATATCCTGTATATATATGCACAATTTATTTCAATTCTTTATATTTTATTTTAATTATTAATTATTAATTATATATTACTATACTAAATATTTTATATATTGAAGGATATACATTGAAGAAATTTTATATATATAAGAATTATATATATAAAATTTCTTCAATGTATATCCGTTTCTTTTTTGGTTTTCGTGTTTTTTAATTGAAATTTATCAAATAGTATAGAAATGTGTAAAAGAAAAAATAAATAACGCGCGTATAATAAATTGCACAAAAATCATTCAAATTATATAATCGTATTAAAATATACTAGAGACTTGAGAATTTTCTTTTAATAATTTTCTTTATATAAGAAAGAAGCAATTTCTTCTTGTTACTTGTTATACCAATTGTAATCGATTTGCGATTCTAATGTATTATTAAAGATGAGATCTTTAATGTAAGGATCAAATACATGATACATTGTTAATTTTATGCCAATAATTAAAGCAGGTTAATAATTTGTTTAATTATTGTTTTTTATTATTTTGAGAATCAACTGCTTTAATTATTATTTAATGTTAATTTTATAATTCTGGATTTAATTAAAAAATAATTTTTTTAAACATACGTACCAAGTGATATTGATTTAACAGACATTCTACGATTTGAGGATTGGGTACGTTCCCTGCGAATGTAAGTCATAAGTAACGGTATATTACTATATCGCTTATAGATATTATCTGTATTACAATTATATATTTATACATGAAATTTAACTGCAATACATATGTTTATTTAAATTAATATTATATCATTTTTTTAAATAATTTTCTCTCGTGTTCGTACTTTTATTATAACAATTAAAATGAATTGGTGATTTAGATGAATCACTATTTGAAGTTTTAAAAAACGAAATAAAGAGCATATGATATAAGATATAAATAAAGAGCATACACTGAGGAAAAAATTATCTTGAAATAAAAAAATTTTAGTTAACTCAAGAAAGCTATTTATTCGGTGGGTACTAATTACGTATTTACTTGTATTTAAAACGTCTGTTTGCTTAAGTTAAGTATTTATTTACATATGTTTAAAAAAATATACATGCTTAAGAAAATATAATTTTTAATTAAATATTTTTATGTTAATTTGACAAAATATTTATTAAAATGCATTTTTTATTCCCAAAAATTTTAAATTTTTTAATTTTAAAAATTGATATATTTAATTTAATAAATTATAGTATATATTTTACAAAAATAGTATTTAAATATAAAAAATATAAATGAAAATAATGCACTTAATATAACATGTATATTTAATTAAAATTAAATGCTTTTGCTTAAATGAAATAAACAATTCCTTGCATTTAAAGCAAAAGTTTCAAGAAAACAAATTTATTTGATTTAAAAAAATTTTTCCCTCAGTGTATATATTGCATATATACATTTGATGCATATTTCGATTTATATTAATTTATTTGGCTGGAAATTGAAAAATTTCTTAGTAATTTTTATAATTAATTGAAGTAATTTTATAAAACTGTGTGATTTAATTTTTATTGTTAATCTTATTTAATAGATGTGGTACATTTTAGTCCTTCTTAGAATATGTTAACATTTAATTGTAGTATGCAATACTCACTGGGTAAGTGCAACTGATCGGTACATATTGCAACTGTTGAATAAAATTTATGTAGTTGTTCGATGTCAATACCATAGACCAAGGTCTAGAAAGAAAGTAAAAAGAAAAATCAATTAAAAGTTCAGTATCCAGTAAAGAAATAATTTTATTTTCAGAAGTAATCAAATATAATTGTAACTATACTTTTGTATAATATTATAAATTACATTATTGATTAAATTTGTTATTTGTTACAAATCAGTTAATAAAATGAAAGGCAAGTTTTTAACTATATTTATATTTTATTCATATCTTAAATTACAAATTATAAATAAATATACAAATTACAAGTGAATATAAATAGGTCTGAGAAGAATCTATATAAATAAATATTTTATAAAGGTAATTGTTTAATAATTTAATTCATTTCTATTCTATTTCAAATCATTTTCAAATCAACCCTAAATTTAGAAAAACAATTTATAAATTAATAATAATAAATAAATATATCCACAAAAATGTCTTAAGAAATAAATCTGAAGTAAATTTTTAAAATATATAAAAACTTATCAATATTATATATAAAGTTTTCAGAAGTTTTCACTTAATTATCGTAAACAACTTGGTGCTAATTTTTATAAACATAAAAAAATTATTAAAATGAAATGTTTAATAATTAAGTTGTTTAATGTATTTTAATTTCTAAAATAATTACACAGGCCTACGAGGTTCAGTTACAAAAAGCAGAGTAGGTGAATTTGATAGATCAAATTTTAAGATGGTGGATTTATCATATTGATGAATTTTCTTTAACGTAAATTTTCTTATAACTTTATACTTATATATCTCAGCGAAAAAAAATCGTGCGGCAGATCGAAAGTGGATTTGAAAAGTGAAAGTGAATACTATACGATGTCATTGGCAGAAATATTTCAAAAAATTTGATTCCCTTACAATAAATTCATGAAATTCATTTGTCAAAATAGCGTTTTTTAGACCATTCAATTACAAAGTATTCAAAAACCTGATGTGCTGGAGAAATTCTATAGCCAGATTCATTTTCAACGTCACAAAATCTATCAGATTCATCTATTCTGCTTTTTGTAATTGACGAAAGCTTACTAATTTCGCAGGCCTGTGTTATTTATAATAATCCAAAAAAACTTACCTTTTTAAAAAAAGGTAAAAAAACAGCGCTAAATTCATGCACTAATTGTATCCAACTGTCATATTGTCTACAAAAATAGTGATATAAAAAAATTGACCAACTAAGAATAAAAATTTGTACAAGATAAAGAGAAGTACAAAGAAGAAAACTTGTACAAGTTAAATGGAAATACTTTAATTGAAAATATTGTTATACAAAATAGTGGTTTTAATTTTAAAAAATAATAATATTTAAAAACTAAAAATTAATATACAACAAAAAAGTAAAAAAAATTTAATTAAGAAAACTTTGTACTGCCAATTTTATTAATATATTGTTCAGCTTAAAAGTCTAAATTTCCAAATGTAAATCAATATAAATTAATTAATGAAATTAGATCATTAAATTTAAATGTTATATTGAAATATTTATTCCAATTATTATACTATTGTTCCAATTTTTTAAATATATATTTAATTGGATATGCCAATTTTATTGGCATATATGCCAATTTTATTGGCAGCGCTAAGTTTTTTAATAAAAATTTTTTTTTACTTTCTTGTATTTTCTTTATATTATTCTATATTATTTTTTATATCTTTCTAGTATTCTCTTTCTTTATATTAATTTTCAGTTTTCAATTTTTAAATACATTTTTAATTTTTTAATATTATTATGTTTGAAAATTAAAACAACTATTTTGTATAACAATGTTTTTAATTAAAATATTTCTACTTAACTTGTACAAGTTTTCTTTATTGTACTTCTATTTATCTTGTACAAATTTTTATTTTTAGTTGGCACAATTTTTTTATGTCACTACTTTTGTAGACAATATGACAGTTGGATACAATTAGTGAACTTGGCGCCCTTTATTTACTTTTTTTCAAAAAGGTAAGTTAACACATAATTTTAATAATACATAATTTTAATAATTAATATTTTTAATTAAAAAAATAAATTTTAAAAATTTATATTTGAATGATTTATGAAAATTTAATATTGTAGATATTAAGAAAATAATTAAAATGGGACAGGGCTCCAATCGTCTACATTCCCAGTTATTTGTGCAATCGTATTTACATATTTGTATTTTTTCGTATGCGCAATAATATGTATAGGCAATCAAAAATATCAGCGAAAAAAGCTGTCAGCAAAATGTGCGCAAACGAAGCAGCAACTGAGAATGTAGGACATCCGTGATTAAAATTATAATTTTAAATAAAGAATTTTAAGTTAATAATAAATAATTTATAAATAAAAGTATTATTTTTATATTGAAAATATAACATTTTCAAACTATATTAATATAATCATCAATTGAAGTAAAATGAAGATGATTCATTAAGTTATTGAATTAGTTCTATTTAATTTATTCCATTATTTAAAATAAAAATTTTTTTATCTTAATTTATTAATTGAAATTTATATTCATTTAATAATAAAAATATTAAATTAAAAAAATGAAAAAATTATGCAATATAAAAGAACTGTTTAAAAAAATACTATTAGGATAATTAAATATTTATTTAAGACATTTATTAAATATTATTACGATTTTGTATAAAATTTAATCTTTTGTATAATATTCAATAATTTGGAATGCAATAATATGCAATAATATATATGCTTATTAAAATAACTATAATTTGAAATATCATGAATATTTTATTTATTGCTTTTTTTACTCACGACAATGATCAGTATGTGTGCGATAAACACGAAAGCTTTCATCCTGCTATTCTCTGAATATTTTAAAAGCCACAAATTTGATTTTTGGGAAAGTCTTTTTTCCTGACACTGCGATATATTAACATAGCTAAGGTATTTATACCATAGGTATTTATAAGATGAATTCAAATTCTTGATAAACTAAAAAAAATACACGTGATTAATCAAAAGTTATTGATCTAATTAGTGGACTGATGAGAAATATATGTGATTAATCGCACGTTTAAGCAGATTCTGATAATAAATTTGGCAATACGCACGTTCGATAATGATGCAATGAGTCCAATTTGCAAATACGTGTGATAACACTGTATGAAATTACAATTGATTTTATTATTTTTGTCCAGTGTTCTTGTATGTTAAATATTTACATTATTTTTTTCATTTTTTCGAAGTATGTGTATATATATTTCGTATATATTGTATAAAATCGTATATATATTAAAGTATGTGTATATATATTTCGAAGTATTATATGGATATTTTCATTACTAAATTAAACTGTATCATGAACTTGGACATAATCAAGTATGATATTTAGAAATCAAAATAAAATATGATCCGAAAACTTTTTCTCAATAAAAAGATTGAGAAAAATGAAGAGTGATGATGTATTATAACGCGTTTTATTTAATTAATATGTAATTGATACATTTGAAATTTTTCCATCGACTTTTTAATTTAATACAGCAAATGTAGCAAATACGTATAATGCAATACTTTACTGTAATGCTTCATTGATAATTTCGCAAGAAAAAAAATTAATTTTATTCCTAGAATTATTCATTTATAATACAATTCTAAAATTATTCTGAAAAATATGCTGAAGCAGCAGAAATATCTTAACTAGAAAAAGATAAATTATAAAAATGAAAATATAAATATAAATTTAAAATATAAAAATGAAAATATAAATTTTAAAAAGATTTTGAAAAATCTATATTTTTTTCGCTTTATACAAAAACATATTTTATTCTAAAAGAAGAATTTTACATTTTTATGTATGTATAAGTTCTAAATATAAATATTTATACAGGGTGTCTGAAAACTTTTCGCACTACCGAAGTGTGAAGGTAGATTGGCTCAAATTGTTGAAAGTAAGAATACTAAGTTTGCTAATAACTTTTATCATCAATAATAAATACTCGTAATATTGCATATGATACGTAATATTGGACACAAAATTTGCATCATTAATCATTTCTATATACAAATGGGTATTAAAGTTTTATTACACACTATACTTTTTTACTACATTTTTACTATTCTTAGATAAATCATTTTTAATCTGCGTATGCTGAAATATATGCAAATATACGCAAATACAAATATTTGTCTCGCGCGTGTATATAAGAATTATTAATAAAAATTACAATTTAAGAGACAGAGATTTTTTATTTAAAATTCCCGAAAATGTATCAGCATGAAATAAAATTATTAATATTTAATGCACAGAATTTTTTGTCTTTTTCGTTGTTATTTTCACGTATCTTATAAAGATTAGAAAAAAATATTTAAAAAAATGTTAGAAAAGAAAAAATTATTTTACTGTATGTGATAGTATATGTGTACAGTTTAACGAGATCTACTTATGATTTTTTTTGGCAGGTGATAGGGCGGACTGTGTATATTATAATTGTTATAGATATTTAATATAGAGACATTTTATTAGATACATTTTTAGATTTTTATAGATACATTTCTCTCTTTCTATGATGATTTGTATAATCTATGATAATTTCTTTCGCTTATTATTTGTTTAGAAATGTCTTGTAATTATTGATAATTTGAATAAGAAACAGTCTATAGCTGCAAGAGTTTTCTTATCATTGCTTTCTTCATTTCGATTATCCAATTCTGGAAAAGAAAATTCTTTAATATTTTGTCTTACAAGTTAACGTGTCAATACATCAATTATAACATACATCACATTAACTATATTAAAGATAATAAATTTGCATTATATATAAAATAATATTATATACTTGTAAATATAACTTAAATATGTAAAATATATGTAATTTAATGTGTGTGTGTGTATATATATATATATATATATATATATATTATATATACATATATATTGTATATACATATATATTGTATATATATATATATATATATATATATATATATATACAGGGTGTGTCAGAATTAGTAGAATGCACAGCGTGATAGTTCGTGCTAAAAGGAACAATTTTTTTTCTTTGGCAAAATCGTGTCTGAATATTACTTTTTTAATGAAAGCAACTTTAAGCTAACGAATAAGCGTTTTAGATTAAATCAGAAGCGGCTTGCGCACAGCTCGCACAGAGTTTGAGCATATACGCTATTTTATTATTTTGCTAAATGTTTTAAAAAAACTATGCATAATATCTATGTATAAATATCGCTATTTTCAAAACAAATTACTTAATGAAAGAACATTTTCCATGTGATATCACCGAAGCAATGACTAAAAATAAAATAAATAGATTAGATAACATGTGAATAATTTTGATCCAAAATTATTGTTCCAACATTCTAAAAATTTTTTTGACTCTAAAATGGATCAAGAAATGTATATACATATGCGCGGAAAAGATTTTCTTGTATAGTTGGACCATTTCTAATATGATGATTGTACAATGGAATTATTCTTCTAAATTTAATACGTGTGAATTAAAATTATTCACATGTTATCGAATCTACTTATTTTACTTTCAGTCAAATCACTTTGCTTCGATGATATCAAATAGAAAATATTCTTTTATTAAGTAAATTGTTTTGAAAAACAAAAAGCGATATTTAATTACCATTCATAGTTCTTGTAAAACCTTCAAAATAATAAAACAGAGTATATGCTCAAGCGTTACGCAAGCTGTGCGCGCGTCGCCTCTGATTCATGCGTAATCTAAAGTACTTATTCATTAGCTTAAAGTTGTCCTCAAAAAAGTAATATTCAGCAATTTTCCAAAAAAGGAAGTTGTTTTTTTGGCACGAATCATCACGTTATGCATTCCGCATCCACGAATCTAGATACATCCTGTGTATATATGTGTGTGTGTGTGTGTGTGTGTGTGTGTGTGTGTGTGTGTGTGTGTGTGTGTGTGTGTGTAATGTATGTATAAATAACATTAACAATAGTTATGAATATATTAAATATTCAAAATGTAATTTAAATAATAAAATAATTAAAATGTAACTTTGTATATATAAAGAATTTTGTAAAGATATAGATTGATAAATAATATGAATAATAAGATAAAATATATATGTCTACCGTGATCGATACAAGAGGCAATTTTTTGCAACTCCTCCTGTGAAGACGTGATATAACCGAAGTATCTTAAAATTTCATCCTTCTTCATTCTACCTTGTTCGTCGACCTAAAATAGGACGATCCATAATAAACTTAATATAACTTATATTTATAAAAATAACTTATAATATAATTTATTTATTTATTTTAGAAACTTAAAAAAAGAATACTTTATTAGTTAAATCATTAAGAATATATAATTATATTAAAATGCCTTATTCTCTTGATTTAAAAATTAATTTTTCTTTAATTATTTTAAGAAATAAAAATTTTTTGTCTTACAGAAAAATTATTTCCCAATCAATTGTAAGAATAATTACATCAATATTAAATAACAATGAAAACTATTAAAAATAATAAAAAATAATGATTAGAAAAATTATTATTAAGTATTAATTAAGTATTAATCAGTTTTAATTAACAGATTATTAATATGTAAAATGTAATTTCTTTGATTGTTAGTTAAATGTTCAACAAACATAACAAATTAATATCAATTTTACGCTAATAATTAAAATAGATAATGTTTAATAATTTTTATTATATATATAATTCTTATTATTTCTCTATAATTGTAAAAATCAATAGTTTTTATTGTTTAATATAAATTTGATAATTCTTATATTTAAATCGGAAATAATTTTTTGTGCATATATATACATACCAAGAAATTTTTTTCAAACATACACTTGATCACATGACGATTGAAGTCTCCTACAAAACATAAATCACATAAATGGCCAAATTTTTGCGACGCTTTTTCAATTCTAATTTTTATTCTCGCGGGAGAGCGGAAGCGCCGTCAAAAACACAAGGGTTTTGGTGTACTCGCGATCGGCGGGACAGGGATGGAGGGTGTCCGCGCGCGAGCCGCGGCGGAGCGAAGGCCGTCTCGATATGGGCGCCAGGCACGGTCTTTCACGTACCAGTTTTCACGAATTCTTCGAAAAGCGCGAAAGGATACGACAGCCCGCTTCGCCACGGGCTGGCTAGCTCGCCTAACGGTAGAGGGGCGGGGTTTGAAAGAAAAAGTTAATTGATTGAGCGAGCTTACTAAATTGACAGACGAAGACGGACACAGAAATCACAGATGATCGCCAGCCAAATAAAGAACGCGAGAGTTAATAAAAAAAATGACAGATTTATTAAGAGAGTAAGAAAGTATTAACAGAAAAGAAATAAAATTCGATACAGAATGGAACGGAAATAATGTACTAGCCACGGACTGACAATAAATCTCGAAACGCTAGAAAAATGCGCGATATTCTAAGTCGGTCTAACAAAGAGCGTCTATTACGGCGGCTTCCTAAAGTCGAAGTTCCTGAGAACAATAATTTCTATAACGGAATTTTGGTAATTCGAATTCTCGCTAACGGTCGTACCATACGCGATAGAGAGAGAGAGCGAGTGTACCTGCCTATCATTCGCAGCTTCGACAAAAAATGCAAATATGTGACATGAATGTTTATCAGTGTATACATCAGTATGCGCATATATGCATATGTTTTAAATTTAGTTCGGCGTTTCCCGATTGCTCTTGCAAAATTTGGAATAAATAATTTCAAAGTAATTTATTAGTATTATTTAATTCTAAAATAATTCTTAAGCCTTTGTAAATCATATAGCGCTGTGGAGAGAATAAATTTAAATAAAAATAAATTATATAATTATAATAGTAATGATAATAATTATTATTATTATTTTATATATATATATATATATATATATATATATATAATTTTTTAAATGTAATATTTAATAACAATTAGATTAATTTTAATTATATTAATATTTATAAATAAATACTATTTCAAATTTTTATAAACTAAAGAGGGATTTATAGAATTCTTAAAAATGAAAATCTGTATCTTGGTTTATACAAGTAAAATATATGTATATATGCCTTATGCATTTTTAAATTTTCGAGAACAATTAATTTTTAATTTTTAAGAAATTTACGCACTACCATCCGCGTTTGGCTCTTAATCGCTAGTTTCTTGAGTATCGTGTTGTTAATTTTTTTTATTTTCTATTTTAGATTCTTTTTGCTGTTTATTTTTGTTTTTTATTTTATACTTTTTATTTATGTTTTACTAATATAATTTTTTCTGCTAAGAATTTTTTAGATAGATGAATTTACATATATCAATTTTTTAATTTTTTTATAATATTATTAGAGAAAGAGCACAATTTTATTTCATTTCTAATATGTTGCCACAATAGAAAAAATGTCTATAAATTTAATTTTCAAACAACGTAGTAAAATGTTTTAAAGTATAAAGAGAAGTGTAATTTTGATTACAAAAAATAAATTTATAATTTTATTTTTTTAGTAGATAATACATATATAGCTTTAGTTCTCTTTATCTAACATTAATATATATATATGCTAATGAATTAATGTCACATTTTTATCTTTTATTAACGTCAATTCTTATCTTTCATTTTTTAAATTAGCGAGAAAAGTATATTGTGTTTTTTTATTAAGTTCTGTTTTAAATAAAATTTGAATTTAAACGATTTGAATTTAAACAAAAATAATTAAAAATTTTACTTAAGAAGTCTTTGATTAATTTAAACAGTTTATGTGAAAGTAATATAATTCGATTTTTAACTTTGTTCACGATTGATGTAACAAATCTTTTGAATTCGCTTAACATATGCTAATATTTAATCATATTTAACACTTACTGGACGAATTTAATTCATCGGCACATGTTGTGAAGTCCTTGAAGAATTTATTCCGTTCAGTTTGGGTGTCAAGAGTATAGACCACAGTCTTGGAAAAAAAATATAAAGAAAAGTTAATTTAATCTGCAGTATCAAAATAAGTAAATTTATTTTGAGAAATGTTAGTTAAGATTCTTATATTGATATTGCATAACATTTTCGATAACGTTATTGCTATTAAAATTATCATTGAAAGTATTGAATTAAAAAAATCGAAATAGAAGCTAGATATTTTATAGTGTTCAAATTTTATGTTATATACAGGATAAACCATTTTAATCAATACACGCGAATATCTCAGAAACACTACATTAAATCAAAAAAGCTTTCAGATAAAAGTTATATGGCTTGAAGGGGAAAATAAGATGATTAATTAATTTGACCTTGAAGAGTCATCTGAAGGTCATCTCCTTCTCAACTTTTTAAATGAGATATTCTATATACTTTTGCATATTCTTGTAGCCTGCCTCAATAGCTTTCCAAAACACTATAATAAAGTATTTTTTCATTGAATACTTTTCGAGTTATGAGGCTTGAAATAATTTCTTAATTTTACATAAACCATAAAATATCTAGCAAGATATTCATTTTTCGATTATCTTACCTTAATACTTTTATGTACAAAATAATAAGAGAAATCGATTGGTGTAAAGAAAACATGTAGTTGTTTTTGAGAAAAAATTGTAATTTGCAATTAACAATTACATTTTTTTTTTCAAAACAATTATATGTTTTCGTTATACCAATTAATTCCTCTCATTATTTTGTAAAAGTATTAAAGTAAGATAATCGAAAAATGAATGTTTTACTAGATATTATATGGTTTATGTAAAAATTAAGAAATCATTTCAAGACTCATAACTCGAAAAGTCGATGAAAAAATATTTTATTATAATGTTTTGAAAAGCTCTCGAGATAAGCTACAAGAACGTTTTTTTAGGAATAGATTAACCTAAGACCCTGTATATGTATATATGTATATAAGAATGTATTTTGCTTGAAAAGAAAATTTGATAAATATATATATTTAGTTTCCAAAATAATTACTTGACAAATTAGTTTCTTAATTAAATATATTATAAAATATATATACAAATTAAATTAAATTCAAAATTAAATAAAAATATTTAACACTTTTCAAATATTAAAATATTAATATTTTACTGGTTAGTTTTTTACTCACAGCAATGATCAGCACATACGCGACGAGCATGAGAACCTTCATCATGTTGTTCTTCGAATATTTTAAGAGTCTCACTTAATTCTGTCTAATACGAAAGACTTTTTTCTTTACACTACGATGTATCCAAGTAAGCAATATTTATATGGATTGAGAATATCGAATACAATAAAGATCGTTAAGAGAATATAACAGAACAGTTCACGAACTCCCTATAAAGTCTAGTTGGTACAATGATGTATGATAGACTGTCTTTTTGAATTTATTTACTGATTCATTGGGATGAGTAAGAGTGAGTAGAGATAATTTAATATCAGAGAGAATTTTGAATCTTTCTTGCTAGAAAAACAGGTTTTGACGTTTACTCGAGTGGTGGGAGAATATAGAAAAACGATTATTCGGGGAGAATGTTTTTCTTATTTAATCGATTTTTGCCGTCATCAATAACCTTAGGCATAATAAGAAAAATATATATGCTTAGAGTCGCACATTTAAGCAGAAATAAATGATAATTGATGAAGCAATGCGCATGTTCAATGATAATCAGTAGTCAAGTTCAGATTATTTTTATAACCTTGTGTCATTGCATATATACATAATCGATTGCATTAATAGAATCCAGTATGTTTATATTTAAATCTTTTTAACGAATATTATCATTGCTAAGTTAAATGTTGCTAAGTTAAATGTAATTGCGTATAATAAAGTATAATGTTTGTTAATTTTACATATTTGAATTATAATGTTTGAGTCAGTATAAAATGTAATTTGAATATTTTCTTGAGAGAAAAAGGTTGAAAAAAATAAAAATATAGATATTGTGACGCAAGATTTATTTAATTAATACCGATACATTTGGAATAATTTTTCTTTGTTTCGGAATTTTTTCAATTTGTAATGCATATTTTGTTGTAATGTTGTAATCTATTTTACTTCGATGTCAAGTTGAGTCAAAATAGCTTCCAGAATTATCCAAATGCGCTGGAGAATTGAGAAGAGATATTGTCACAGAAGAACAAACTGTAAAGACAAAATTTTTTAGCATTTTAGAAAGATTTTAAAGATTAAAAAATTTTACTTTTTATACAAAAATGTTCTATATTTGAAATAAAAAAAAGTGTTTTATGTACATTATAAGTACATAAATAAGAGAGAAATTAATTTTTATATAATATTATTTTATAAGAAGAGAGACACCAAATTTTCTTCTATATTGTGTAGCAACTTTTGTTTGTTTTTGGATTAAAAAATTAAATTAAAATACTAAAAGCTAAAGTTTAATAATTTGAACTAAATTTCATTATAAATATAATGATAATGCATAATTTTATCTGATTAATCGTTGTATGCTGTTGTGAACATTTACATATAACGAGCTTTTGAATTTAAATAATAATGTAATAAACTGAAGTTTAACATGTAATAGTATGCGACAAACTCATAAATTGTTCATTATATTGCCATTAATCTACTTAATTCTATTTAATAATTCGAATTTAACTTGACGTATTAATAAGAAATTTAGTCATTTAAGTAATGTGTCTAAAGTATCAAGTTACAGTGAGAAGGTCTTTATCGTCACGCGCTTTCACTCGCGTGAATTGGTTGATTTTTTAAAATTAATATATCAAGATTTTATGTGATTGTTCGCAAAATGGTATAGGACTTTTTAATTAGGTTTAACGAGATCTACTTATGGTTTTTTTGGCAGATGATATGACGAACAAATATATATACAGGGTGGGGCATTTATCTTGAGACAAGATAATATCTCGATTGGAGTCGATTATTTTGAAAAAAGTTTTAGACAAAAGTTGTAGGATTTTTCCCGGGCAATCCGACGGTGACCTTAGATTTGACCTTGGATAGTCATTTGAAGGTCACATAAAGATTACCTTCAATTTCTTAAATGGAACCCCCTATTTTTCATTGCATATTCTTGTAGCTTATCTCGAGAGCTTTCCAAAACACTATAATTAAGTACCTTTTTATTAAGTACTTTTTGAGTTATAAGGCTTGAAATAATTTCTTAATTTTACATAAACCATAAAATATCTAGTAAACCATTCATTTTTCGATTATCTTACCTTCATACTTTTATGTACAAAATAATGAGAGGAATCAATTGGTGTAAAGAAAACATACAGTTGTTTTTAAGAAAAAATATGGAATTGTTAATTGCAAATTACATATTTTTTCTTAGAAACAACTATGTGTTTTCTTTACACCAATTGATTCCTCTCATTATTTTGTACATAAAAGTATGAAGGTAAGATAATCGAAAAATGAATGGTTTACTAGATATTTTATGGTTTATGTAAAATTAAGAAATTATTTCAAGCCTTATAACTCAAAAAGTACTTAATAAAAAGGAACTTAATTATAGTGTTTTGGAAAGCTCTCGAGATAAGCTACAAGAATATGCAATGAAAAATAGGAGGTTCCATTTAAGAAATTGAAGGTAATCTTTATGTGACCTTCAAATGACTATCCAAGGTCAAATCTAAGGTCACCGTCGGATTGCTCGGGAAAAATCCTACAACTTTTGTCTAAAACTTTTTTCAAAATAATCGACTCCAATCGAGATATTATCTTGTCTCAAGATAAATGCCCCACCCTGTATATATATATATATATATATATATATATATATATATATATATATAGTGGTGTCCATCGTATCATGTATATACACACACACACACACACACACACACACACACACACACACACACACACACACACACACACACACACACACACACACATTCACATTTATATACTATATATATATATACATATTTATATAAATTAATTATTGATAGCAAAATTAATTCGAAACTATTGCAAGCAAAAAATACTGCGTCTCTTTTTATTCTCCCATATAGAACACTTTTTCTTGATGGTCATAGTAAAAGTAATTAAATTTAAATTTTATTGATTATATGTATGTGTACTCTATTTTTTTTAATTAAAAAAAATTAACAGAAAGTTAACAAAAATTAACATTGTCACTTTTATATTAGAAGATATAGTAAAAAAAAGAAGAAAAAAAATGTTATTATATTTCATATTAAAAATCATCTGAAATTTAAAGTAAGTTTTTCTTTCTTATTTAAAAAGAGATATTTTTCATATGTTACTCAAAAAACTTTTGTAATAAATTTTAGATTAATTAAAAGTGTATAATATTAATTTCTTTATCTCATTTTTTCTTGCTTAACTTCTTTTTTATTTTAAAGCGCGATATATTATTCATTATGAAATGATTATCTGAGTATTACCGTCGAATCATAGTCGAGTAAGCATTTAACCGACTCATATGCTAATTCACATCCTTCCATCGACTTCGATACTGTAAATTAAAAAATAGCAGTATTATGAAGAAACTTGATAGGAAACATCCTAAAGTAGTTAAATTTATTTAAAAATATTTTATTTAGATTATTATGTGAGTGTTCCGCTTACGGGTTGATTGACAATGTTTGAGTGCTCCTAAAGCAATAGTCTGAAGTTCTTCGACTAACATGAGCTCTACGATATTCTGGAGTGCTTTCTCCACTATTTTATCATTTTTCATCTAAGAACAAAAAAAGAAGATATAAATTATATTCCTCTAGATTTAATTATTTTGTAAGATCGTCAATGATTAAATCGTCGAATAACAAATTATTTTTTTCTTAAAATAATAGATTTTAAATGCAGGTTCTTTTACGAGATCAAAAGTATTTTTTCTTTTATAGAAATAACGCAATCTTATATGAAATTCGAAAAACTATTAGATTGATATAAATGATTGTTTTAAATTTGATTAATATAAATGATAATTTTAGAGAAAGAAATATTTTTTCAATTATTAGTATTTCGGTTCAATTACTTATTAGTTACTTATTTTTTAAAACAATTATAATTAGAGAAATCATTTTCATTATAAATACATCTTGTTATAATTTTCTTTCCTCATTAATGAATCGATTTACAATCAAAATTATTAAAATTGTGATAAAGAGAGATTAAAAATAAAATATTGAAATTTTACTTACAACTTTTGTCATCAGCATCACGCACTTGTAATAACATTGCAGTTTCCGGTCGGGAACAAGTTTTCCGTTGTTTGCATCCTCAATTATCTCTATGCACAAATTGATATTGGAATTTTATTATACATTACTATAGTTTTATTATAGATATTTCCACTACTTCTTTTAAATGATTTATTTTTAGTCTACATATATTGTTTGGAATACACACATATATATGTGAATCTAGATTCTTGGCCACATGATTTCGAGATACATGTAAAACTAATTTCTTTTATTGATACATACTTGGATTGACGCCAACCCTTTCGATGCAAATATCGCTCACCGGCTTCAGAGCGACTTTAATTTCATCCAAGGAATATTTTTTCTACGCAAACAAAAGGCATAATGACGATAATCGTCGATCGGATAAATACATCAATCAAATCGAATAAATAAATGCATCAATATATATATATATATATATATATATATATATATATATTATATATACAGGGTGATTTATATAAAGTGGCCGATGTGAATATTACTAAAGTTGTAGAGCTATGAAAAAATTTTTATATTAAAAGATGTTTGAGAGGGGTATCATCGTATGATATAAACGATATTTTTATAGAGGCATTAAGGAGATTTCAAGATCAATTTAATTTTTTAAAATTAAACTCCCTATTTTTTATTTCTTATAGCTTATCTCGAGAGCTTTCCAAAACACTATAATAAAATATTTCTTCATTGAGTACTTTTCGAGTTATGAGGTTTAAAATAATTTCTTAATTTTACATAAATCATAAAATATTTAGTAAAATATTCATTTTTTGATTATCTTACCTTAATACTTTTACGAGGAGTTGGTCACTAATGGTATAGTGTACAAAAATTACCCTTGATTCGGATTACCTTTAAATTACCTCGGATTACCTCAGATTATTTAAGATTACTTAATATTACCTCAAATGAAGAATCTATTAAGAGTTTTTGCACATATCTTTTCATTGGTAAGGATGCATTTCGCAATTTTTATATATTTGTATTTTTAGTTATTTGTAGCTTTTTTGAATTTTGTTTTGAATAATAAGTAGACGCTTGACTTACGAAACGACTTTACATGCCAATTTGAATGGCATTATTCCATCTGTATCCACTATCAGCAGAGTAATAAATTCAAACTATTGTTTACTTCGGGAAGGTGAATTTCGTTTTAAGGAACTAAGCGACTTCTTAACGCAAAGAAATTTGCCTAAAGTAGTTTGGCTTAGTGAAAATGTGACTGAAATTACCGGTAGAATATTCAATACATGAAAATTGTAATATAGGTTTTGTTTTACCGTTAAATGACGATGGCTTACCAAAAGTTGTGGATAAGAATGCATTTCGCAATTTTTAAACGCTCATGTATTCATGGCCTGAGAAATAAAGCATTATAAGACGTGATATCGCGAAAACCTAACCACGACAATTCGTAGACTGTAAAAAAGCACGTTTTTACGAAGCATCCAAAAACGACTGCAAATGTATATTATTGTAAAAAGATACAAATTCGTCAATGACGTTCACTAACTTCAAAAAGATTACCATAGATTACCTCAGATTATTTGAGACTACCTCAAAAATACCTAGAATTACCTACAGATTATTTGATATTATCCTTAGATTACTTAGATTTCCTATTAGATTACCTGAGAATGCTAAAGATTATTTAAAATTACCAAAAATTACCTTAGATTACTCAAAATTTTCTTTGGATTGCCGCTGAATTACCTAGCCCTTGTACAGAAATTACCTCAGTGACCAACCCCTCGTACTTTTATATACAACATAATGAGAGAAATCAATTGGTGTAAAGAAAAAATAGTTGTTTTAAAAAAAAAATATGTAATTTGCAATTAACAATTCCATATTTTTTCTTCAAAACAACTGTATGTATGCCTATTTTTTATTACATATTCTTGTAGCTTATCTCGAGAGCTTTCCAAAAAAGATATATATATATATATATATCTTCTACATATCTATTTATCTATATGTATATATAAAAGTAGCGACATAAATTTTTACTAATATTTAAAAAATTAAAAAGAAAATGACATAAGAACCAACGCGCGATAGTTGAGTGCAAAAAAACAACACTTCTTTCTTTTTTCAATATGAGTTTTTTTAATGCTATGAACTAAAATTGAAAAAGTTTTTTAATAAACTAATATTGAAAAAAGAAAGAAGTGTTGTTACTTCTCTGCGCACGAACTACCGCGCGTTGTTCTTATGCTATTTTCTTTTTAATTTTTTGATTATTTGAGCCAAATCTCTAATTATTAAAACTAATATTTAATTATATATACATATATATGTGTGTGTGTGTGTGTGTGTGTGTGTGTGTGTATCTTAAGCTTTCTTCTAATCGCTATTATAATTTGGCATAAATTCAACATTGTTCAAAAGAATGATTCACATTATTGTGAGTAATATGTGTGAAATATTACATATTAAAATAAAGTAGCAAAAACATTAAAAATATTTAAAAATGACAAAATACTTTAATTAATTTTTATATTTAATTTTTATATTTTTAATTAAAATTTTCATATTAAATCCTTAATGTTGCTTTTCGATTATTTTTTGATTTGTGAAGATGATATATGTAAAAATAGCTCGCATTATATTTATTTCTTGTATTGTGTATGAAAAACATGGTTTATATAATGATTTACCTAATATTAAATATAACTATATATATGTGTGTGTGTGTGTGTGTGTGTGTGTGTGTGTGTATGTGTGTGTGTGTGTGTGTGTGTGTGTGTGTGTGTGTGTGTGTGTGAGGTAAATCTAATTTTTTAAAATTCTAATTCACTCTGATACAATTATGTGCATTTCTCTTTGTAAAACTTACACTTTCAGTATTCTGCAAATTTGCTATTAGCACGAATGAGATGAGAAAGCTCACACTAGCACCTTTCATCCTTATTTGTTATGATTTTGTTATCTTTTCGGTCTTTTTTTTATCGCGTTATGGGTGGATCGCAACTGATCCGGACTTTTGTCGCGTGCAAAATACGTCTACCTACTTTTATATACAGAAATAAAACAAAAATCTAGGGGGAGAACCCTCAATCTCCAGAGTCCTTGAAGAGGTGGCATATCCTAATACGCCTAAATTACTGTGTTGGTTGACATAATTAACGATACTTAACGCTAATACCTGGAGTTTTATTAAGTATCATTCTCAAAAGTCAGATGATCATAACATTGTGCGCTATTGTTGCCAATCTCGGGATTATACATTCGGGATGATGTAAAATACATAAGGAAATAGATTTCGAGATTCTCATCAGAAAAATAAAGATAAAATTCTTTTAAAAATGCATGTTTATATTCAAGATTAATTGCAGATTTTCTAGTAGCATTTTCTACATGAACATTCATCTTTTATCTTGTTTCAGACATATTGTGTGCATTCCAAGTTTTATCTTTAAATTAAATATTAATTGTTGATGTATGTATATATGTATATATGTATATATGTATGTATATATGTATGTATATATGTATGTATGTACATACATATATATATATATATATATATATATATATATATATATAATTTTATGTTTTACTATAAATTTATTGAAATTTCCGGGAGAAGAAAAAGATTTTTAGAAATTGCGCATGCATTTTCACAAGACACTTTGTTTCGAAAATTATAATTTTAAATAATGATATGTTGATATCGTGCAACTATTTACGTTCTTTTTAAAACGTTTTGTGTTAGCATAAAATTTTAACAACTGTACTTTACATGTTGCTTAAAATAAATTTATTAATTATAATAACGCACTAACGGATATATATATATAATATTACATAACATAGTTTTTTTCTAAGATACAGTTATTAGGCCGTGTCCTAATTTATTTATTTACATATGATTACACAAATCATGTAATTTTTTTATATTGTATTTATATAATTTTTTGTGAATTTTACGTCTCGGGATAACAATTTTCAATTTATGTAATCATACGTAATTTTTTCATTTTTTATTATCTTATCCTTTTATTTTCATTTTTTATTATCTTATCCTTAGATTTTGATTAAGGAAAGAAGAAATGATCCTTATCTGTTTGATAGCAGCACTTTACAAACTGGTAAGTTGTTTCGCAATCATCGCCAGCAGGAGCTGTAAAAAAATACAGAATTTATAAAAAACTCTTAATCTTCTTTTACATTATTTGTATCAATCAATTTGTAATAATTTGTAATAATTTATAAATCAATGTTTTTTACACTTACATATAAATGTAAATAAATGTAAATAAATTTTAAATAAATTTTAAATATTTAGATGCAAAGTTATGCAGATATATATTATATCAAAATAATTTTATTTTATTTGGAATTGATTTTATGTAAAAACTAAAAATTTCAATAAAGCAAATTTTCTTGTAAAACAATTATGAAAAAAAATGTATCCCACAAAAATAATTTTTTGTTTAATACCATGCCTGGATTTTTTAAAATCAACCAGAGAAAAAAATTTATATCTAATAACTAATATAATAATAACTATAATATAACTAAAATTTATATCTAATAACTAATATAATAATAACTATAATATAACTAATATAATATAACTGGATTTTGATCTGATCTAATCGGATATATATATATATATCCAATATATAGATAAAATTTTTATATTATATATAATTAGATCCTATTATGCATCTTTTATGATATATAAAATCGTCCCAACATTTAATAATAATATAAATCAATAATTATAATCTATTTTATATAAAATTAAAAATTTTATTTATATTTCTATTGAATTTTACATCTTAAGTAGATGATGAACGCATCATTTTTATTTATTTGTCGGATATTTATTTGTTCGATTTATAAAATTAATTTATATCTGAAGTTCCTCCATTGAGATTGTATCAGAAATTAAATTGAAGCAAAATATTTAATTATATTTGTTTAATTATATTTGTCGATCTTTGTAAGCTTTATATAAATCTCATGATTAAATTTACGAGATAGCATCGCGTAGCGGTAAACAAACATTTTTGAGTATACAATTATATATTTTTGAGTATACATTAAATTATAAATCTTTATTGATTTAATTGTATACAATGATTAATTGTATACAATGGTTAATTGTATACAATTGTATAAATATATGTATTAAATCGATGCAATTATATATAAATTTATAAAATTATATCAAATTATATTTAATTATATATAATAAGCTATGTTTATATAATATTATTTATATATAATTATATTAAAATATTTGCGATTTCATATCAAATTATGTAAATTATATCGAGTATAAAACTCGAAAAAAAATTCTAATACAATTTTACATAATTTGATACGGGTTATAAATATCTTGATATAATTACATATAAATAATAATAGATATAAATAGATCTTATATAATTACATATAAATAATAATAGATATAAATAGATCTTAATATATGTAATTATATATAATTATATCTAATTTTATTTAATTATATGTATATAATTATCTTTTTTTCTCGGGAATTTTTATATCGAAATTAGGAAAACAACATAAATATTGATAATGTAATTGTTTCGCACTAATATCTTTTATTAAAACTTTATATTGATTTCTCTTTTTCGCGAAAATATACTTACGATGTCCTGCGCACTCAGTTGTGACTGCTTTCAAAGGCGTTGCCATTTCGACAGGCATCATTAAATCCATTTGTTTAAGCATCATGCCGACATCTATGCGCCCACTCTTAAACTTGATTGTAGGAAAAAAAATATATTTATGTGAATAAATTCTCTTTTCATAATGTTAGATTTTAAATCAGAATAAATCTAATAACTCTTTTATTATTATATCTAATAACTCTTTTATTATTATTATAGATATTATATTAAATTATATTTTAAATATAATTTAATAATTCTGTTCCCTGTCTCTCTTTCTCTTTCTCTCTCTCTCTCTCTCTCTCTCTCTCTCTCTCTCTCTCTCCACACACACACTGGATGCGTGATTTTAAATTGTGTCGAGATTAAAAATTCTAAAAATTTTATTTAGCAGTTAAGTAAACAGGAATATATACATCTTATATATGATAGAGAGAGAGAGAGAGAGAGAGAGAGAAAGAGAAAGAGAGAGAGAGAGAGAGAACGAGTGAAAATATGAATATATAAAATAATAAGTGTATAAAATAATAAAAAATGTGTATAAAATAATGGTAATTATTTATTTATACGGGCCATCCCGATTTCAATAATTCTCACATATGTTATCAAGATTATCACTCTGAGTAATGTTGTGAAAATTTTAGACGGTCATTGTTTATTAAAAAGTTATAAACAAAAAATATCTAATGAGTAATATGTAATTTTATGACACCGTATATAAACTATGTTGTCATTTGGCATTGTTTACCTTTTTTATATTGAAATCAGGTGTGGAACAATGATAGGCTTTCATGTTTTTGATATTTCTTATGACTTTGAAAATATTTAAGAAAAGCTGAGTTTAGTACAAAATAAATTGTTGTACAATTAACATGAAGTTCTATGAGTTTCTCGCTTTAACAACAAAATATGATGAGTTATTAAACTATTTATGCGCGAAAAATGTTACATTTGTAACTTTCTATACAAAGTGAAGTGTATCCCTCATCACAAACACGGATTGGGTTAGGTTATATCTTCCGAAAGTGCAGTCTCCCGCTCTATAATGAACACACTGTCCACGCATGTACTTTCCAAGATGAAACAAAGTTCATTTAATCTTGACCTCCATTAATAGTAAATTCTTATCTTAGGAAGTACATGCGTAGGTAGGTATAGTATGTTCCGCCCCCCCCGCGGGGGGGCTTCACTTTCAGAAGATATAACTTAACTCAATCCGTGTTTATGATGCGGGATACACTTCATTTTGCATAGAAAGTTATTACAAATCTATGTGAAATTGTGCAACAATTGACTTTTCTTTCGATAAATGTATTAATAAATTTATGAAACTTCTTTTGTTTATATCTTTTTAATAAACAATGACCGCCGATTAAAATCTTTACAACATTACCCAGAGTGATGATCTTGATAACACATATAAGAATTATTAGAAATCGGGAGGTGGTCCGTTTAAGTAAATTATTTCTATCTTAACGGAAATAAAAACACGATTGAATTTAATAAATAATGTTTTCTTTCAAAGCAATAATTGATGTGTGTTGGTTTTTTATGCAAATTAATTACAAAATGAATAAAGAGATGATAATTATTTTGTCCGGATAGATAGTGCGCTAATATTTTTTTTCGAAACACTAACAAGAACAAGATAATATAACATATATATATATATATATATATATATATATATATATATATATATATATACAGACCCATTTTAACTTAGGCAGCCAAATAACTCGAAAAATAAGCACACTACGAAAAAATGGTTAGAATCAAAATTTCGTCATTTCGAGGGGGACGTACAATGACGTTAAAATCAGCCCCCCCACCCCTCCCCCTGGGCGGTGAGGGGGGGCAAGTTTGAAATCTTAAATGGGAACCCCTATTTTTTATTGCATATTCCTGTAGCTTATCTCGAGAGCTTTCCAAAACACTATAATTAAATACCTTTTTATTAAGTACTTTTTGAGTTATAAGGCTTGAAATAATTTCTTAATTTTACATAAACCATAAAATATCTAGTAAACCATTCATTTTTCGATTATCTTACCTTCATACTTTTATGTACAAAATAATAAGAGGAATCAATTGGTGTAAAGAAAACATACAGTTGTTTTTAAGAAAAAATATGGAATTGTTAATTGCAAATTACATATTTTTTCTTAGAAACAACTATGTGCTTTCTTTACACCAATTGATTCCTCTCATTATTTTGTACATAAAAGTATGAAGGTAAGATAATCGAAAAATGAATGGTTTACTAGATATTTAATGGTTTATGTAAAATTAAGAAATTATTTCAAGCCTTATAACTCAAAAAGTACTTAATAAAAAGGTACTTAATTATAGTGTTTTGGAAAGCTCTCGAGATAAGCTACAGGAATATGCAATAAAAAATAGGGGTTCCCATTTAAGATTTCAAACTTGCCCCCCCTCACCGCCCAAGGGGAGGGGTGGGGGCTGATTTTAACGTCATTGTACGTCCCCCTCGAAATGACGAAATTTTGATTCTAACCATTTTTTCGTAGTGTGCTTATTTTTCGAGTTATTTGGCTGCCTAAGTTAAAATGGGTCACCCTGTATATATATATATATATATATATATATATATATATATATATATATACAGGGTGGGCCATTTTAAGTGATCCACTCAAATATCTCTTAGGGAAAGCCTGCAATCAAAAAATGACCTTAGTAAAAGTTGTATGGCTTGAAGGGGGCCATCAGATAGTGGCAATGATTTGACCTTGGAGAGTCATTTGAAGATGACGTAAAGGTAACCTTCAATTTCTTAAATGGAACTCCCTATTTTTTATTACATATTCGTGTAGCTTATCTCGAGAGCTTTCCAAAACACTATAATAAAGTATTTCTTCATTGAGTACTTTTCGAGTTATGAAGCTTGAAATCATGTCTTAATTTTGTATAAACCGTAAAATATCTAGTAAAATATTCATTTTTCGATTATCTTGCTTTAATACTTAAACTTTTATGTACAAAATAATGAGAGGAATCAATTGGTATAAAGAAAACACATAGTTATTTTTAAGAAAAAATATGTAATTTGCAATTAACAATTACATATTTTTTCTTTGAAACAACTATGTGTTTTTTTACACCAATTGATTTCTCTCATTATTTTGTACATAAAAGTATTAAAGCAAGATAATTGAAAAATGAATATTTTACTAGATATTTTACGGTTTATACAAAATTAAGACATGATTTCAAGCCTCATAACTCGAAAAGTACTCAATAAAGAAATACTTTATTATAGTGTTTTGGAAAGCTCTCGAGATAAGCTACACGAATATGTAATAAAAAATAGGGAGTTCCATTTAAGAAATTGAAGGTTACCTTTACGTCATCTTCAAATGACTCTCCAAGGTCAAATCATTGCCACTATCTGATGGCCCCCTTCAAGCCATATAACTTTTACTCAGATCATTTTTTGATTGCAGGCTTTCCCTAAGAGATATTTGAGTGGATCACTTAAAATGGCCCACCCTGTATATACAGGGTGGCCCCGAACGTTTCAGCCAGACTTTGAGATCTTATAAGAAATTTAATTCTGAATAAAAAATTTCCGATAAACATGAGTCGAAAAATGCTTCCTTAAGAAGTTATCGCTCAAAAATCTCTGATGAAAGAAGAGCGTGAAGGTGAAAAGGTGAAAAGAAAATGAAATAAAAAGAAAATGAAACTAAATAAATTTCTTGATCTGTATTATATATCTGTATATATATATTTTTTATTGAATTGCAATAGATTAAATGATATTCAATATATCACGACAATTAAGAATAAAGCTTTTATTTCTTACAGTTCGCATTGCTTTCATTACACAAAGCGTATAGCATTTTAATGATTGATTATCATCCTGAAATTGGCCCGTTTGCAATCCCTCAACAGCTCCTACAAACGGAGAAAATATTAAAAATTCTTATTTTGGTTGTATATAATGAAAAAATCCAACAAATATTTTTTAATGTAATATTTTAATGAAAATTATGAATTGTCATTATCTCTTCATTACATGTAGAAATAAGTGTCCAACGAAACGAGAAAAGGGATCTTGACTTACAACCGATTGTCGACTACTATGAACAAGTTAAAAGAAACAGCGCCGGAATATACAATGTAATACATTTCTTACTCACAAGGAAAAATACAGCACTCTAATTAGTAGTATCTAAGGCAAATCACATCACATCCGGAAGACGCAAATAAGAATTAAAGCAGAGATTGCTGCAATTGCGAATGAAGTCACGCACGTTCATACACAATGCTCTATTCGCTATTATTTTCAAATATTGTTGACTTCTTCAATTCTCTTTCATTTTAATGTTTTTATTAGTTTTTATTAGAATATATAATTCATGTCTCTTCTCTTTATTTCTTAATAGAATTATTTAAAATAATATATTTTGCTTCTAAGATTCTTGTTGAAAGTTAAAAAAATATATATTTTTTCATAGATATATTTTTCATAGGTATTTTTCATAGGTATATTTTTTAAATATCGAGTTTTGATAATAATATTATTTAAAATTGAACAGATAGTCTTTTTCGGAAACATTTAAAAATTTAAAACTTGAGAAATTGGTCTTCTCAAAAAATTAATATTAACAAAACATATTAACTAAAAGTTTATTAACTAAAAATTGACAAAAACTGACTAAAAAAAATGAAAATCATAAATGTTACAAATTTATAAACATATAGAAAAATATAATATTATTATACTTTCTATTTAAATTAATTTTTTATTTAAATTAATGTATCAAAGAATAATCAAAGAAAAAAGTAATAATAATGTAAATAAATCAATTTTCTCTTTTTTTAAATCCTGGCATTTTATGAAACATCAAGACATTTATAAAATTTATATTTGTATATCTTTATGCACACACACACACACACAGACACAGACACAGACACACACACACACACACACAATGCGCGCGCGCGCACACACACAATAATTTGAATTAATGATATCGACTAAAACTAATATGAATAATTACAGGATTTTTCATTCAACTGTATCATAAAATAAATTTCAAAGTACTCGCGTAACTCACCGGCATCTGCATGGCTTTTAGATACACACGAGTTTCGCATAGTCATTGCGGTCTTGTGAATCTGTTCCATCGTCAGTACCTGCAATATAAAGTCTCAATAATGTACATGAAGTATAGCATCTTAGATGTACATAAAAAATAATATTTATCTTATTAGAATAAAATTAAACATATTTATCTATTCTTTTCGTGTACGCTATATATATATATATATATATATATATATATATATATATATATATCTTTTGTATGCTTCTCCCTCCAGAATTAAATAGCGTACACGAAAAGAATAGCATAAATATATTTAATTTTATTCTGATAAGATAAATATTATTTTTTATGTACTTATATTATTTTTGTACTTATTTATGTATTTATATTATTTTTTATGTTATTGTTATATTATTTTTTAATAAAAAAATCTGTTTAAAAAGTAATAGGAGAGAAATATAGAACTTTTTATATATTGTACTTTTTTTGAGGAATTAATAAGTCTTTTCTTGCACGCACATAATATGAATTATTTTTAATAAAAATATGTGATATTAAAATTGAGTTGTCTTTCTCTATGATAAAATATTTTTTTAAGTTTGTCAAGTTTTATTAACTTTTTTATATTTCTTTATTAATTATGGCAATATGTTTTTATCTTCTGTGAAGTTTAAAAAAATCTGTAATATTTCTGTATATATTTGTAATATTTTCTCAAAGATTATAAAAATTTCTAAAAAAAATTGAAATTTTACAGATTAGACACAAATCTTCGAGACTGGTTTGTATTATTGATAGAGATATTTATTATAAATGGATAGAGATATTTATTATAAATTGGTATTATTGATAGAGATATTTATTATAAATGGATCTTTCTGTATCATTTGAATTGAATTATTAAAAAACAGATCACTCTATTTCACGTATTTCTATTTAATATGATAAATTATTTCGGTTTATACAACACTTACAGCATCCGATTGATTAATCGCGAAAAGCGCGATCATAATAATGTAGATGAATACGCGGATACACATTTTACAATATTTTTCAATTATACAAAATTATAAATAAATTTAGTTCAAAATACTCTTTCGAAATTGTTGAAAATGAGCCGTAACTAGCTCGTTCTTTTATAAAGACTCCGACTGTCGACAAATCGTTTGCGACTAATATATCAAGTTGTAGTCTTGTTTAAAAATTTAATTTCATAGTATTAATCCGAAGAAAATTTATACCTTATGTCGTCGAGGCAAAGGAAGAAGCTTCCGTGATTTGTCTGCCAAAGGAAAAAAAAACAAGAGAGAGAGAGAGAGAGAGAGAGAGAGAGAGAGAGAGAGAGAGAGAGAGAGAGAAGAATATGCTGATGGTTAAAACGTAATTACCAGTAATGAACACAATATGTAATGACATGTATTGTCCGATGATTTCGACTACAAATGACGGTAATTATGCATAAAAACCCACCTTCGCATAAATGTGCTATTGACATATGTTATCAAGGTCATATCTCTAATTAATATTCTGAAGGTTTTAGCCGGCGGTCGTTTATTAAAAAGTTATTAACAAAAGAATTTCACAATTTTAATGCTTTTTATTTCCGAAAATATTGATTTGAGAAAAAAATTTTAAGCAAAAAATAAGGCTGCTGAAAAACTCTACAAAAAAGATTATATGCATTTTTTTCGTAAACTTACTATTTTAACTGTTATATGAAAAAATAATAATTTTAAATACATTTAATGCAATTTAAATTTATATGGAATTTAATACAATTTAATTAATTAGAAAATTAGAAACTATCACAAATGTATGTGACACACACATACGCAGGGGGGTGCAAGAAGGGCTTTCGGCCCCCCTCCCGCAAACACCCGGCCGGTAGGCAAGGTGGTTTGCTTTCCAACTTACAGCATATATCCATTGTGATTGAACTCTTTGCAACGCGTCCCCTACCGGCCGATGGCCCCCCTTGCACCCCCCGTGTATGTGTGTGTATACACATACATTTGTGATATTTTTTAATTGTATTAAATTGTATTAAATTCTATATAAATTTAAATTGTTTACCTTTTTTTATTTACCTTTAATTTACCTTTTTTTTGTGTTTTTCTCCGACTTGCAAGTTCGACCGCTACTTTTAAGTTTCATATTCGTGTTCAGGAGAAAAATACGTAGAAATTGGGTATTCTTACCCATTATTTCATATAGATAGGTTTTCCGAAGGTTTACCTTATTTTTGTATTTATTATTTTTATTCTTTTTTAGCCTATATCTCCAAAACTATTTGAGTCCGACCCTTATATATATATATATATATATATATACCGGGTGTTTCAGACCACCCGTACACCCCATTTTAAAGCAAAGGAAGTGGTTATTTTGAAAAATGTTTCAGACAAAAGTTGTTGAAGATAAAGTAATGCATTACATGGGTAAATTTGATTGACCTTGGGTGGCGTCGTGAAGGTCATGTCAAGGTCGACTTGAATTTTTTAAATGGGAACCCCTATTTTTCATTGCATATTCTTGTAGCTTATCTCGAGAGCTTTCCAAAACACTATAATTAAGTACCTTTTTATTAAGTACTTTTTGAGTTATAAGGCTTGAAATAATTTCTTAATTTTATATAAACCATAAAATATCTAGTAAACCATTCATTTTTCGATTATCTTACCTTCATACTTTTATGTACAAAATAATGAGAGGAATCAATTGGTGTAAAGAAAACACATAGTTGTTTCTAAGAAAAAATATGGAATTGCCCACCCAAGGTCAATCAAATTTACCCATGTAATGCATTACTTTATCTTCAACAACTTTTGTCTGAAACATTTTTCAAAATAACCACTTCCTTTGCTTTAAAATGGGGTGTACGGGTGGTCTGAAACACCCGGTATATATATATATATATATATGAAATTACTCGGGAAAATTTCCCCTATAACATATTTAAAAATAAAGCAAATTGATGAACAAATAAAGTAGAATCTTTATGTCAATATTTCTCATATTTATTTGTTAATAACTTTTGAATAAAGAACAATTGCCGACTAAAACCTTCAGAATGTTAATCAGGGATAACATTTTCACAATATACATTAAAAAACACATTTGTGACAAGGTGGGCCATTTTTATGCATAATTACCCAAATGACTGCACAAATAACAACATATTTAGTAATGGCACATAAACACTTCGTAATGTGTAACGTAAAACGTATTCTGAAAAAGTTTAATAGGAAATGTATAATATAAGCTCATAATAATAGAAATAATGTAATAATAATATGCGATATTGATACCGAATATATTTGTTGAATGATTAAGTTTTATGCGAAAACAAAATCCGATGTAATTACAATATTATTTACTTTGTACTATGTTTACGCATTTGTTATTGTATTGAAATTATAATTTATATAATTATTTTTTATTTTCAATTAGTCATCTAAAAGAATTTCCTATTCTATTTTAGTTAAAAATATTCTTATAAGAGATATATCTTATAATTCATATATTTTAAATGATAAATATTTTATATTGGTCCTTTCCCTTTTTAAATGAATAATTTAAACAAAGAACAAATTAAATACATGGAATTTTAATTTAGATTTATGCCTAAGTATATAACAAGAATATGAAAGGAAAATATAATAATAATAGATAGAGGTTTCATTTAAGAATATCGGTTATTCAGAGGAACGTTATTGCATCAAAATGGTCATGAGAAAGTTAAACAACGTTGATCTAGAATGTGATAAAATTTTCATTTGAAAGCCAAATCCCTATATAAAAGTGTGTGTGTGTGTGTGTGTGTGTGTGTGTGTGTGTGTGTGTAAACACATATTTAATATTAAAATTTTATATATAATTATGTGTATTTACATTAATTTATATAATTAAGTGCATTTAAATACAAACATAAATATAAAAAAAATTAATTAAATATTTAATCAGAAATATATATTTAAATATAATCATATATTTAAATATATATAATCAGAAATATGTAGCTAAATTTAAAAAAAATGTTGGTATTAATCTTTTAATTTAGTTAGTTAGTTCATTTTGCAATCCGCGCTTCCTGACATTGTGGTGCTACTATCACGACTTCCGTTATCGTTTGTTAGTTCGCATAAGCTATTCAAATGGCTTGTATATAAGATACACCACGTTTTGTTAACCGTTCTTAATAAACCTGCTTTTACGAATCTATTCACATCTTATTTTATCGAAAAGCTCTAACAGGTTATGGACCCAGGACTTAAAGCCTTGTGAAAGCAAATAAGTGATTATATAATAAAATATATAATACTGAGATTATGTGCATCTTGTAAACTTACGAGAATGGCTTGTCACATAGGAAACACGACGAGAATAGATACACTTAATAAAGATAACTATGATACATGGTGTGTGCCAGCGGAAGCACTTCTTATAAAAAACGATGGATGGGATTATGCGAACGGAACAAGAAAACGATCTACAATTATCGAAGATAATGCCGTATCGGAAGCCGCAGCAAGAGCATGGGACATTGCAGATCGAAAAGCTAAGTCAGATCTTATTCTATCTATAAGTTCATCAGAATTAAAACAAATTAAAGGTTGCCAAACAGCATTTGACGTATGGGAAAAATTACAATCAATTTATGCGTTCAAAGGACCTGCGAAAAAGGCAGCATTGTTAAGACGTTTAACCTCTCACCGTTTATCTAGTAATAATGATATTCACGATGATATTGATAAATTTATAGAGATTATTGACAAATTAGCCGGAATGGATATTAATATACATAAAGATTTGTAAAGAGCTATGTTGTTGAATAGTCTACCAGAAAATTATGAAAATTTCAGGTGTGCGATTGAAGCTAGAGACAATTTATTGAGCCAATTATTGTATATTGAGACATTATATTGAGACAATTTATTGAGACTTGATATTGAGCTGATATTGAGACTTTAAAAATAAAAATTCTGGAAGAATTTGAAACGAGAGAGAGAGGAATCAGAAAGATATTGAGGATCATGGAGCTATGGCAGTTAAACCTAATCATAAAGCGCAGAAACAAACCAAAAGAGAGAAGACTAATAAAGAAACTTATAATTTAAGAAAATCTAACAAATTTAAATGCTACGAATGTGGTAAAATAGGACACCGAGCTGCCGACTGTTATTTTAAGAAGAGCGAAAATAAACACAGTGCTAAAAATGCTACTGAATCATTTTATGTAAAAGAATAACAATGCTTACACAATAGCGAAGGATCTTGGTGTTTAGATAGCGGTTGTACAGCACATCTATGCAATGATAAATCGAAGTTTATTCAGATAAATCCAGTTAATTACGAAAAATTGAGCTTAGCTACAAATGCTTCAGCTATGGTTAAAGCTAGCGGTAATGTTGGTATTACTACATCATTTAATAATAATGCTAAACTAGTTGAATTTAGTGATGTACTATATGTTCCGGATTTAAGAGCTAATTTAATATCTGTTGCAAGAATTATAATAAAAATGGCAAGATAAAGGCAATAAAATAATCTTTGGAAAGCGTGGAGCCGTCATAATAGGAAAAAATAGAAAAGCTAAATTAAGGGCGCAACGTGTTGGTAATCTTTATTATATACAAGAAAAAGAAAACATTGCCAGAAATAGCTATAATAACAATGACAATTATCAGTTTAAATTATGGCATGAAAGGCTAGGTCACTTAAATGCAAGAGATTTAATGTATCTTGTGAAGAAGCAACCGGAATATTCATCAATGAAGAATTAAAAATACCTACATGTGAAACTTGTATTCAAGGTAAATTGACATCTATGCCTTTTGAAAGAAATGTCAGACAGAGATGTTCAAATCTGTTAGAAATTATCCATTCGGATGTATGTGGTCCTATGAGTATTGAATCATTTGGAGGATCTAAATATATGATATCTTTTACGATTATTTGCGACTGAAATCTACTTTTTAAAACGGAAGGATGAAGTTTTCCAAGCATTTAAAGATTTCAAAAATTATGTAGAGAAAAGTACCTGTCAAAAAATAAAATATTTGCAAACCGACAACGGACGCGAATACTGTAATGAAAGATTTGACACATTTTTAAAGGATGAAGGAATTCAAAGACGTCTTACCGTA